GTTGGGGGAGTTGGTTCACATGGTTGTGGGGACTTGACCACCACTGCCATCTGTCGGCCTGGCTGGAGGCCAGAACTACCCACGTCCCTCAGGCTCCACTGCTCATCTGGGAGTTTGAACCTTGATGGTTCTGAGCTAAAGAAAATCTTGCTTTAAACATAAAGCTAACTACTTTGGCTATTTCATTAATAAAGTATTCTAGCTAATACTTCAGAACAGTTTGAGTAACTGGCACTGAGTGATGTTCCCTGGGTTTTCTGTATGTGCTCGCTGATGAAGTTCCTTTCTAGGCCTAGCTTATGGGATGTTTCTATTATGGAAGAGTGTTGAGTCATCAAATGCTTTTTCTTATTTATTCAGATGATCTTGTGGGCTTTTGTTCTTTATTCTGTTACCAGATAAATTACTTTTTCTATTTGAAACTAGCCTTGCATTTCCTAAAATAAATCTCACTTGGGCATGGGATGTAATATTTTCTTTTAAGATTTATTTATTTTTATTTGAAAGTCAGATTTTCAGAGAGAAGGAGAGAGAGAGAAAGAGAATCTTCCATCCATTGATGCACTCCCCAATTATCTGCAATAGCCAAAGCTGAGTCAATCTGAAGCCAGGGGCCAGGAGCTTCTTTTGGGTCTCCTATGTGGATGTAGAGACTCAAGAATTAGCCAGTTGAGTCATGCTGGCCCCACTTCTTTCATCTTACCAGATCTTTTGAATCAAAATTGTTCAGATAATAACCAGATTTCATTTGTCCTTCTCTGCATTAAGTGTCTTGCTGATTGAATGTTAAGGAATTAAGTAAGGGATCAAAATTTTCCGCTCACAACAGTAGGAATAATAAGCCATTGTGCTTTCCTAGGTGTCTAACTCAGTTGTTCATAGAATGCATGGAGAAGTGGCATGTTTGAGTTGTTTGAACCTGTGCCGTGTCTGCTTCGGATGACTTAGCTGGCCTGTGTTCTTTCCCTTAAACCTTGGGGCATCTTTCTGCTTTCAGAGGCGTTCCCGCAGGGCAGCAGTGTGCTGCAGTGTCTAGAGCCGCAGCTGATAGTGCTACCGTCCCATGTGAGGACTGTTTGAAGTTGGAGCTCAGACTGCTCTACTTTGGCTCTAGCTCCCAGCTGGTGATCCTGGAAAAGCAGCATCAGAAGGCCCAGGCACTTAGGCCTCTACCTGCTGTGTGCAAGGCCCAGGTGGAATTCTTGGTTTTGACCAGGCCCAGTCCTGGATGTTGCAGCCATTTGGGGAGTGAACCAGCAGATCAAAGATCACTTTGGCTCGTCCTCACTGCCTGCCTCTCTCTCTTTCTCCCTCCCTCTCTTTCTTGCTGCAACCCTGCCTTTAAAATAACTGAATGAGTTAAAGAAAAAGGATTGATTCTTAAGAGCCATTATGGGAATCTCCTTTTCTTAAGTGCTTTTTCTCAAGCTGCTGGTAACTTAATGTGGTTTACTATGACCATATCAGTGATAGCTGTGTCACTAGGTTATTGGAGTTTTTAAAGTATACTTATATATCTTTTAAGATTGTTTTAGTTTATGGAAAGTCAGATATACAGAGAGGAGGAGAGACAGAGGAAGATCTTCCGTCCAGTGATTCACTCCCCACGGGGCCACAATGGCCAGTTTCGAACTGATCCAGAGACACTAGCCCAGAGCCTCTTCCAGATCTCCCACGCGGGTGCAGGGTCCCAAGGCTTTGGGCCGTCCTCGGCTGCTTTCCTGGGCCACAAGCAGGGAGCTGGATGGGGAAGCAGGGCTGCTGGGATTAGAAATGGTGCCCATTTAGGATTCCAGCACATGCAAGGCAAGGACTTTAGCCACTAAGCTACTGCACTGGGTACAAGTGTATTGATTTAAAAGATTCCCCCTCCACAACTTTTTAAAAGATTTTTCAGAGAGGACCAGACACCACTCCAGAAACATGGAATATTTCACAAACATCTTGGGCTAAAGAGCAGGCTCGGCCCAGGCTTCTCGGGCCTAGGAGAATACTTCTGGATGTTGCTCACGTTTATTCTAAGTTGAAGTCACTATAGGGCTTTAAGTAGAGGGAACATTTGAGTTAGACATTTTTCTTTTAAGCACACTGATGTTGTATCCAAGTGATCAGACACAGTATCATGACTGGTGAAATAAAATGACATTGTGTTACAACAGAAAGGCATGTACAATTAAGAACCAAGAAATCTTAGCTGTGGGTGTTAACGGGGTGCTAGAGAGAGCACAACGGACAGGTCTGGAACATATTGAGGAGTCTTTATTCGCCAAGCTTGGTGATGACAGGGTCCAGTGGAAGTTACCAATTGACAAGTCCGTGTGGCAGCCCAGTCTGATTTGAAACAAATGGCCATTGCAGTGAAAGCTCTCCATTAAACTGAAGAGCTGTGTCCCAGCTTCCCCAGCAGTATGTTATCCAGAGTTGTGCAGTGAACAACCTGGGCACACTTAAACCCTTTCCTGGCTTCTCCATCTCATTCCGTTTCTGCTAGGCCTCACCTCTCCTGGAACTCTTGAAAGTACACAAGATAGAAGTGAAAGTGTCTTAGCATTAACATCTTTACTGTCTTACCCTAACAGTGAACAGAGGGTGAGGAATACAGACACACAGGACATGCTCTGGGGCTATCTGTGCTCAGAATCTGTCCACAGGAAGCTAGAGGGCAAGCAGGTACCGGGGAGGTCAACCAGAGAGCAGTGGAAGCAGTGGACCAAGAGAGCAAGCCTCTCCCTATCATGGGGGTGTTTGAGAGAAGTGGCTATACGACAGTGCAGTACCACCCCCTCGCGGGTTCCAGGTGAAGATGGGTGGGCAGCACAGGTGGGCACAAAGGATTATGTGGGTGGGGAAGGTGTGGCTCCCAAGCTCGTGGTTCTGAACTAGCTGCCTACCCTACAACAATGGGGCATTCCATAAAAAGCTGATAAGAACTTTTAAAGTTGTCAGTGTCCTAAAAAAATCAGAAAGGTAAGTGAGGAGCAAACTGTTCTAGACCAAAGGAGACAATGGCCCGGTAGTGCGTATGCAGTGTGAGTGCCGACAGCATCCTGGGATGGATTTACAGCGTGTGCAGGCCACCGTCCGTGCGCAGTGTCTTGGCTGTGATAACAGTGTCAGAGTCATGCTGGAGAAGGACCTTCCTTGTAGAAGATGTGCAGTGAAAAGTTGTTTTGAACAGGAATATGAAGTGAAGTATATTAAATGGAAATAGCAAGTGAAACACTATTGTTGAATATAGATGAAAAGGGGTATTCATTGTACCATACTTCACCTAGTTTTTTTTTTTTTTTTTACACATTTATTTTTATTGGAACAAAAAAACCTTCTAAATGGCTGCTAGGGCAGAAGCTGAGCTTCCCTGAAGCCAGGAACCTCTTCCAGGTCTCCTGCATGGGTGCAGCGTTCCAAGGCTTTGGGCCAACCTCGACTGCTTTTCAGGGCCACAAGCAGGGAACTGGATGTGAAGTGAAGCAGCCGGGATACGAACCAGTGGCTGTATGGGATCCTGTTGCATGCGGGGCGAGGACTTCAGCCGCAAGGCTACTGTGTGGGGCCCTTCACTTTTTATTTCTTTTGTACATTGACTTCCATGTCTTACTCCAGGTTTCAGTGATATGAATTATTTTCCTGTTTGCATCTTTGCCTATGTGGTCATTTAATCACAACCACTTTCTGATGTTAAGTTCCTCTAGTTGGATATCTAAAGGCTGTCAAACCCATTGCCAGTCCTATTCCTTCTGTTTGCAATGGATTTGAATTTTACTTGCAGCATGACCACTTTTCCATTCTTTGCTTCATTTTCATCTCTGTTGGCTTGGCTTGTCTTCTCAATGAGCTACATTTTGAAATGTTTTCAGGGTTTGTTGTGTGGTTACAAAGGCACCACAACTGTGTTCTTGGCTCTTTGTTTTATGTTAACCCTTCACCACTAGACTATAAAGAAGGGACTTTGTTGGTCGCTGCCCATGAGTTTATGAGGTGGTTTGTGGCTTGCAGAACTAGAAAAAAAGCTTGTAGCTTGTACAGTTACTCAGTTAATATACAACTGAAATTTGAATCAGATTCTTGAGGAATTGGTGTTAACCATGGTACCTGAAATTTTTGCATAGCAGAACTATGAGAAATAAGAACTGCCTGTGATTTTAAAAAAAAGGGGGGGCATGTTTTTTGCACAGCAGTTAAGGTGGTGATTGTGGGGACCAGCCTCATGGTGCAACAGGTTTAGCTGCTACCTGCTATCGTGGTGGGGCTCCCATATAAGCATGTGTTTGAGTCCTGGCTGCTGTACTTCTGATCCAACTTCTTGTTAGTCTGGGAAAGCAGCAGAAGATGGCCCAATTCCTTGAGCCTCTGCCACCCAAGTGGGAGGCCCGGCTGGAGCTGGATGGAGCCCCAGCTGTAACAACCATGTGGGGGGATGTGCCAGCAGATGGAAATTCTCCCAGTCTCTCTTCTCTTGTCTCCAGCTCTGTTTCAAATAAATGCAATTGTAAAATAGATAAATAGATACTGTTGTGGAAAACTGGCTCCCTAGCTGAACTTATTCCAAGCTATTACTGTACATGAGAGAATTGAAAGAGACATGAGCAAGGTGTGGAAATCAGAGACGTCCAGGCTCCTAAAACCTTGGCCGGGCCCAGCTCTAGCCATCGCAGCCACTAGGGACTGCACTAGTGGATGATCAGTCACTCATTCTTTCTCTCCCTCTACCTTTCAGATTAATGTACCTTTTTGAAAAAGGGTTGATGCATACAAAGTGAATATATGTCAGGCTGAGTATATAATGGTTAGTAAAGTAACTTTTATTAAATTCAAATGCTCATGTATGGGTATTAAATATTTTGTATGTGAGAGAATTTTAATACATAAAATCTTCCCTTTGAAAGAAATATTTGAATTCACAACTCAGAAAATCCTCATTTCTGTGCATTTTTGGAGCTGCTAGCAGTCTACCATTTTTTTCAAGTAGCCCTAATTTCCTTTTGCATTAATGCTTGCAGATGGAGAACGCCGGAGGAGACCTTAAAGATGGCTGCCACCACTACGAGGGAGCTGTTGTCATTTTGGACGCTGGAGCTCAGTACGGGAAAGTAATAGACCGGAGGGTGAGGGAGCTGTCCGTGCAGTCCGAAATCTTCCCCTTGGAGACGCCGGCGTTCGCCATAAAAGAACAAGGTTTCCGGTGAGACTTTCACTGCCATTTTCAGGAAGAGCTTGTGCTTGGGTCATGGGTTATTCTGTTATTAATTTAGTTGAACACTGAATTTTTCTGTGGAAATTAAGGTATAGAATGATTTTTAATGAGAAATTTCTCGTGGTTCTTTTAGGGGACAGGAATAGGAAAGAGGAATTAAGCTTTCAGTGAAAAAATTAATTTTATTTGTGCAGTTAAAAGAGTATGTTTGATGTTTTGTATGATTTGTGGACCAGAGTTCATGTCATTGACTGACCCTAAACTTGTTCAATTCAAGGAAAGTAAAGAAAATCAACTAAAATTCCCAAAAGAAATGAAACATATACTATAAATCTGTTTTACTTCTATCTCAAGAGACTAGTTTCTGGGCCTGGCACACAATGGCCTACTGGCTAAAGTCCTCACCTTGCATGCACCAAGATCCTGTATGGGTGCTGGTTTGTGTCCCCGCTGCTCTGCTTCCATCCGGCTCCCTGCTTGTGCCCGGGAAAGCAGTCAAGGACGGCCCAAAGCCTTGGCACCCTGCACCTGCATGGAAGACCCGGAAGAAGCTCCTGGCTCCTGGCTTTGGCTACTTGGGGAGTGAACCAGCGGATGGAAGATCTTTCTCTTCTCTGTAAATCTGATGTTCTGATAAAAGTAAATGTAAAGCAAAAAAGAACCTGAGGTCTACATTTTAAAAAATCTCAAAAAGACTAGTTTCTAAAACATGAAAAAGCTTGCATGAATCTAATGAAGGAACTAATTTCAATAGCCTGTGCCCTTAGAACTGGCCAGAATAGCAACCAACAAAGCTGTCGTATTTTTTTTTCTTCTATTTTAAAGTTCATTTGCTTATTTGAAAAAAGAGGGGAAAAAGAGAGACAGTGCTCTGAATCTGCTGACTTCCTCCCCAAATGGCTGCAACATTTGGGACTGGACCAGGCTGAAGCCAGGAGCCTGGAACTCAGTCTGGGTCTTGCAGGTGGATAGGGACCCCAGTACTTCAGCCATTCTTCGTTGTCTCCCACGTGTGCATTCGTTGGAAGCTGGGATTGGAAGCAGAGCCAGCACTCCTATATGGTATATGGACACTTCACACAGCCAGCATAGCCTCTAACCAATTCTGCCACATACTTGGTTCTTGGTTTCTTCTCTCAACAGGAATTTCTGGTTAATGCTATAGCTACCTTTCATTCCTGCCTTCCTTCTTTCCTTAGTTTTTTTAAGATTTATTTATTTTTTATTACAAAGTCAGATATACAGAGAAGAGGAGAGACAGAGAGGAAGATCTTCCGCCTGATGTTTCACTCCCCAAGTGAGAGCAACAGCCGGTGTGGTGCCGATCTGGAGCCAGGAGCCAGGAACCTCCTCAGGGTTTCCCACACCTGGAGGGTCCCAAGGCTTTGAGCTGTCCTCGACTGCTTTCCCAGGCCACAAGCAGGGAGCTGGATGGGAAGTGGAGCAGCCAGGATTGGAACCAGCATCCATATGGGATCCCGGGGCGTTCAAGGCAAGGATTGTAGCTGCTAGGCCACTGCACTGGGCCCTCCTAAGTATTTTTGTAAAAAGATTTAAAAAAAAATTTTAGTTGAAAGTTCTAAAGAGAGAGTGACATATGTCTTCCATCCTCTGTTCGTTCCCCGGATGACTGCAATGGCCAGAGCTGGGCTGATGTGAAGCTGGGAGCCAGGATCTTCTCCTGGGTCTCCCCTGTGAGTTCAGGGACCCGAGCACTTGGGCCATCCTCCATTACCCTCCCAGGCCTATTAATCGGGAGCTGGATCGTAGTGGAACAGCTGCGACCCAAACTGACGCACGTGCGGGATGCCTCCTGGCACTGCAGACGTCAGATTGGCCTGCTGGTCCCTAAGATTTCTTTATTTGGGAGACAAAGTTACAGAGAGAAAGGGAGAGACAGATACCTTCCCTGAACATCTTCACATCCTACATAGCCACCATGGCGAGTGCTGGATAGAGCTGAAGCTGGAAATCAGGTGTGTGCAGAGTCCCAGTGCCTTGGCCTATCCTCCACTGCTTTCCCAGGCACATCCTGAAACAACCGTATCTCAGGCAGTAACTTAGTATGCTGTGCCGTGATGTCAGCTTCTGCTGTACCTTTTCAGCATAGAATTACTTTCTTTGTTAAAGTGCTTTTTTCTGGATGCAAGCAGCTGTACCTAGTCCTTAGTTGGCACACCATCCCCCTTTCAAAGTTTTCTTTCGGGGGATTGGAGGATAGGGAGATAGAAATAATATGCACCCATTGGTACACCCTCTGAATGGCTGCCACAGCGAGATCTGGACCATGCTGAAGTCAGGAGCCAGGAACTCCATTCTAGTCTCCCATTGGGGTGGTAGGGGTCCCCAAACTTGGGCCAATTTCCACTTCCTTCCCAGGAGGAAGGAGTTAGCATTAGCAAGGAGCTAGATCAGAAGAAGAGCAGCTCGGTCTCCAATCAGCACTCTGATACCAGATTTCCGTGTTGCAATTGACAGTATAATGCACTGCATCACAATACTGGACCTGTGACATAGCTTGAAAAGAATTACTTGGCAGGCAGAGATACAGAGAGCGAGAGGGAGAGGTAGAGAGAGTTCTTCTGGTTCTCTCACAGTTACCCTAACAGCCAGTGCTGAGCCGTGCTGAAGCCAGGAGCTTTCCCACACGGGTGAAGGGGCCCAGGAACTATGGCGGTCTTCCACTGGTTTCCCAGGCACGTTAATAGGGATGAGAAGTAGAGCATCTGGGACCTGAACTGGTCCCACGTGGGCTGTGAAGCATTGCAGGTGGCAGCCTGACCCATTAGACACTGGCCCCAGCCACAGCCCTAGCACGTAAATATTAGCAGACATATCATATGTCTCTAAAACATATGTTTTTTTTTTTGCAATAGAGAATATGACAAAAAGAACTTACAAAGACTTAGTAGGTTTGTCGACTAAGAAATCTGTGATTTCTTCATTCTGAATGAAGTAGGCTGAAAAAATCAGAAAAGGGAAGTTTAAGCTTCTATTTCTAGTATATAGATTAAAATCCACTCTCTTAAAATGATAGCATTTTATAGTAAAATGTGCTCTTTTGGGTTTATTTGATTCACCCATGTTGATTCACTAGCAAGAATTAAGTTTTAAGAGACGAATAAACTGAATGTCAAACCCAGGTCCATCATTTCACTTTTTGTACCACAAACATCCCTGGCAAACTCAGACTGAATGTTCAGACTAGGTTGACAGAATACTTGGAGTTGAAAACAAGTTGTGTTTCTTGTCACTTGATCATAACTGGTTCCTGGGTTGGATTTCTGTGGAGGTTTCTTTCTTTTTGTCGTGGAGGGGAATAGGAGCTGCATTGATTGCACCGTCGCTTTTATTGCTATAGTTCTTTTGCTGAAGTGCCCGTTGACAGCCCTTCTGTAGAATGTTAGCTTTGTAGCATAAGGACCATCTTAACCATCTGATTTTAGAACTTAGACCTGCCTGATAGGTAGGATTGCTACTTGATAACTTCGGGTTTGTTGGGACTTAGAGCAGCACATTAGTTTCACAATAGCACTGAGAGAAATGAAGGAGTCAGCGATGAGCTCGTCTCAGGATTCAATACGGTAAGACCTCAAATTGGTTTAAATACTGCTTGAGATTTATCCTTGACTAAGTCCATCACCTTTTAAAAATAGAACTAAACCTCATAGTCTTGAGTTGGCTAGCAGATTAGGATAATACAGAACAGCTCCGTATTATTTATTAAAGAAAGCTAAATACACTGAGATTATATTTGTGTGTAGTTGGTAGAGACAACTGGTGTTGCCAAGTATTTTCCCTCCCCTTAGAGCAAATTCAGAATTTTGTGTTTCTTAAAAAAAAAAAAAAAAAAGATTTGTTTATTTCTGTTGGAAAGGCGGATATACAGAGAGGAGAGACAGAGAGGAAGATCATCCGTCAAGCGGCTGCAGTGGCTGGAGCTGAATCAATCCAAAGGCAGGAGCCTGGAGCCTCCTGGTCTCCCACATGGGCACAGGGTCCCAGTGCTTTGGGCCATCCTCAACTGCATTGCCAGGCCACAAGCAGGGAGCTGGATAGGAAGCAGGGCCACCGGGATGAGAACTGGCGCCCATATGGGATCCTGGCACGTTCAAGGCGAGGACTTAAGCTACTAGACCATCGTGCCGGGCCCCAGGATTTTGTTTCTTATGTGAAATTCCTAATCAAAGTGTTTTAAAGTTTTTGAGTGAACCGAGGGTCAGAGATAAGTTGAGGAAGAAAGAAGGTCCTGATGTCACTCTTCACAGAAATTACCTGCAGTGGGCATCACGTTGTGGCACTGCCGGTGAAGCTGCCACTTGGGTTGCTGGCATCCAGTGTTAGGGTGTGGCTTCCAGTGTTGGCTCCTCTGCCTCTTTTCCAGCTCTCTGCTGATGTGCCTGCAAAGGCAGCAAAAGATGGCCAAGTACTTGGCCCCCTGCCCCTGCGGGGCATGCAGACCGAGTCCTGGTGGCTGCCTTTGGCTTGGCCCAGTCTCAGCCATTGCAGCCACTGGGGACTGAAGCAGCAGGTGGATGATCTGTCTCACTGTCACTTGTCTTTAGCTCTGCCTTTCAAAAAAATACAAAAATAAATTCATACACATACATACCTAGCACTGAAAATCTTTTTAAGATTTATTTTTAATGGGAAAACAGATTTACAGATAGGAGAGACAAAGGATTTTCCATCTGCTGGTTCACTTCTCAAGTGACCACAGTGGCCAGAACTGAGCTGGCCAGGAGCTTCCCCCTGGGTGTCCTATGTGGGTGCAGGGTCCCAACCTTGGCATCAGACACACAGCCGGTGCCTGTATGGGATCCTGGCACATGCAAGGCTAGGACTTTAACCACTAGGCTACTCTGCCATGCCTAACACACATATTTTAAAGCATAACCCAGCTGTCAACTTTTGGGAAACAAACATTAAGATGATGATGATGATTTTTTAGGAGATGCACTTCGCGGTATTCCTGTTTGGTGTAACACACATAGCTTTAGCCCAGAGCCTCTGAGGTGGCTCCGTTAAAGTGATGGCTGTGCAGTTAGGGAAGCAGCTCATGGATGAATAGAGCGAACTACTCCCTGCACTGAAAATGTTTTGTAAAAGTTCATAGATAAAACCCATACATCCCCTTTATTGTTAAATCATAACAAAGTATTGAAATAAAGTATTCAACTCCCAACTTTACCTTTGCACTGCTCTGCTAATTTTAATGTAGCTGCATTAGAGTGTTGGCCTGGGTTCTGAGAAGGGTTTATGGTACAGAATTGATGTTATCTCTGTTTTCTGGCATGTGGACAGGTTTGAAATTTAACAGGGCACAATTAAACTGTACTTCCTGTTCTGTCATTGTGTGTGTGTGCTTTTTTCAAATTTGACTTTTCATGCCTTTGGTTTTTATGTCAGTGATGTTACTCTTTCTCAGAGTGGGCTCGTGTGTTTTATCTCTCTCTCAGATTTTTCCTTTATACGTTGAAAGTTTGTCTATTAACAAGTAAATGCCTAATTGATGAGCGTTCAGACACTGCAGTATAGTACAGTGAAAATAATTAAGTTCTGTAGGATATTAAATAGTTGGGATGAAGTCCAGATCTGTTACGATATACCAAAAATATGATAAAATCCTTTCATCTGTGTAGTTTGCCTTTGTAGTATCAGAGAACATGGATTTTGTGTAAAACAGAACAGTTGGAGCTGACTCACTAACCGTCTTGTTTAAACCCACAGTGCCATTATCATCTCGGGGGGACCTAATTCTGTATATGCCGAAGACGCCCCCTGGTTTGACTCGGCAATCTTCACGATCGGCAAGCCTGTCCTTGGGATTTGCTATGGCATGCAGGTATTTCTTCAAAACTTGCATTGAGCGTTAACTTAAACTTTACTGTTTGCAACTGATTCTTTATTAGTATTTTCTCTCATTAGGATATTTCTCTCATTAGTTAGCTGAGACAGTTTGTACATGCTAGAGCTATGTGTGAGCTGTATATTGTGGGTGAATTGACCTGGTAGGAAATCTGTTATCAGAAAAGTAAATTTCTTAATAAGACACTGTCCGTTTTAAAAAGGTCAAAACTTGTATATGGGACACAACACACTGGCTCAATTGACTGATTCCTCCTTCAGATGCTGGGACCCCGTATGGGTACCCATCCGTGTCCTGGCTGCTTAGCTCCCCATCCAGCTCCCTGCTTGTGGCCCAGCGCCTTGGGACCCTCTATCCCTGTCGGAGACCTGGAAGAAGCTCCTGGATCCTGGCTTCGGATCAGCTCAGCTTCTGCCCTTGTGGCCACTTGGGGAATTTCTCCTGCTCTGTAAATCTGCCTTCCTAATAAAAACAAATCTTCAAAAAAAAAAAAACACACAGAAAATCTTGTAAATGGATAAATGTAAAGGTTCAATATTCTTAATCTGAAAACCAAATGCTCTGATATCTGCAGCTTTTCCACCGTTTCTTCACATTGTGTAGAAAAAGCTCTGGAGTTTGGAACATTTAGGATTTTGAATATCTTGATACGGATGTGTAACTGGTAATCTGTGTACTTACTTATCCAATCAACACCCACCCTTCCTCCCCAAAAAATCCCTCCAACATTTGAAGGACTTTGGTTCCAACCATTGGGGATCGGCATACTCGGCCTATACCACATAGAGCCGTTAGTCATGATACAGCCATTAAAATTAGGCAATTCTGTCAGGAGTGTTTTTGTACTTGTACATACTCAGGGTAATTGGGAGTGGAAATGCTGAGTTTTCATTGTGTGCTTCCAGCTTCACTAGGTGATGGTATTTTTTCCCTTCAGTTTATACCTCACGTTACTATATATAAATGGGCACTGTTAAAATCTGTCAGAGTTGACAGGAATATGTATTTTTGTGTTTGTATACATGGGGAGGTATTCAAGGGGTTCACATTGTAGTCTTTAAAATAATTGTTTTTAGGATTTATTTATTGATTTTGGAAGTGCTTAAGAGAGGGGGCAGAGGAGGAATCTTCCATCCACAGGTCCAGTCCCCTGGTATCTGCTTCATCCAGGTCTCCTTTGTGGGTGTCAGGGGCCCAGACACTAAGACCAGTTAGTGGATAGGAAGTGGAGTAGCCAGGGCATGAACTGGTACTCGTGTGGGATCCATGCTGCAGTGCTGACCTCCGGAATTGTTTTTATTGGTGGAATTTCCTCCCCCCGCCCTTCCCAGTCTAATGCTGATTGAAAGGCAGGACATTTGAGAGTGATAAGAGAGGAGCTGAGTTCATTGAATGGTAGACCAGCCATGCTGTGTGGGGTTGTTGGCTTCTTTGAGGCAATTAGGACCTCAGAATTTCCTGAAACAAAAATTCAACAAGAAAATAGCTATTCAGTACACAGGATTATCTGTTCCTTCCCCAGACACACATTTGTTTGGCTGACTGCTCAGCTCTGCACACCTTCAACCATAAATATCTATAGTTAAGAAACTAGAATGAGCACAAACATCTGAGCAGCTGAGAGAGCCTGCAGTTTGGCAACAATCACTTGATTTTGTAGAAATCTTTATTTAGATTTTTTGGACTGTAGAATTGTTCTAGTATCTTTGGTCGTTTTGATGTTTTGATTCAGAACTTCCAGTAGGTTATTGATCTGATTGAGAACTACTAGTCAGGGCCACATGTTTGGGAAGTCATGGAGAGTAGCATGACTTATTTTGATAATCATATTAGTTTGAGTGGCTAGAGTGAAGAAGGAGGGGAAAGATGAGAAGAGGAACCAAAAGTTAGACAAGGGCTATGGAATAAAATTTTGTTTTGGATACTATAACTTGGACTTTATTCAGCGGGTGGACCAAGGATCAGCAAACTATGTCTGACCCTTTGTCTGTTTGTTTGGTTTGGTTGGCTGGTTTTTGGTGACCTGCAAAGAATTTTTACATTTTTAAAAAAAGATTTATTTATTGTTATTGGAAAGTCAGATATACGAAGAGGAAGAGAGACAGAGAGGAAGATCTTCTGTCTGATGGTTCACTCCCCAAGTGGCTACAATGACTGCAGCTGAGCCAATCTGAAGCCAGGAGCCAGGAGCCTCCTCTGGATCTCCCACACGAGTGCAGGGTCCCAAGGTTTTGGGCTGTCCTCGACTGCTTTCCCAGGCCACAAGCAGGGAGCTGGATGGGAAGTGGAGCAGGGCCACTGGGATTTGAACTGACATCCACATAGGATCTCAGCACGTGCAAGGCGAAGACTTTAACCAGTGCGCTATCACACCAGGCCCTATTTTTACATTTTAAATGATAAAATTGGGACAAGTTATTTTGACAGGTGAAAATGAAATTCATATTTCTGTGCCTGTCTTACAGTAGCCCAGCCACGTCCATTCTTTCAGATTGGATGCCTTGGGGGTCTGCTGCCAGGGCGGAGTAGTTGCTACAGACACAGAAGGGCTTGCAGAGGTTGAGTTCGTTACTGCCTGGTCCTTCACAGAAGACTGACCAGCTCCTATGGGGAAGCTGAAAGCCAGTGAGGAATTTACTTAGTCATGTTTTATTTTGGTAGTGAACATTTGTGATGTCGAGCGTATAGACTGAAAAATAGGAGGACTAGGCTGGTAGTACCTAAAATTGTTTGTTAGTTTTTATGCTACAGAAAGGTTTATGAGTCTTAATTTTGGAATTAATATTATTTGGGAAACAGAGCACTCCTTCTATAGTTTATTCCCCGAAGGCGTGTAATGGCTAGGGGTCAGCCTGGGTCATGCTGGGAGCTGGGGGTTCAAATCAGATTTCCCTCTTGGGCGGAGGAACCCAGTTCCTTGAGCCACCGCTGGCTGCTGCCTCGCAGGGTCCAGATCATCAGAAGTCTAGTCAGGAGGCAAAGCTGAATATTAAAACATTGGACTCTGCTGTGTGGGGCATGCGTATCTCAGCCACTAGACTCATTTTCCACCGTTTGGTTACACAAAGGTTCAGCAGATTTGTCTTCTGTTGGATTTACAGTGGAGTAGGGTTACAGAAGTGGCTAAGCAGAGAATATATCGGTTAGCCACTTACTAACAGTTTTGATGAGTAAGTGACTATGAATGCTGTACGATTGAATATTTAGCTCTCTGTCTGCTTTCTTTTGGAGCCTTGGTCAACCTGTGTCAACTTGAATGTGTTATTTTATACCTGTTGTGGAACAGACATATGGACTTGGAGCGATTATATCAGTGCAGAAATAATATTTGAAAATTCTGTAATTACCTCGGGTGGGATATAGGCATGCACAAATGATAAGATGATAAACACAAGGAGAGACAGTCAATTGAAATAAGACTTGAAAATATGAATAATTGGAAGGCCAGATTTTCTTGTTTATTTCTACAACACAGCTCTACAGACTTTCAAACTGTTCCACTGGGACCAAAGATTAAATAGCATGGAGAAATGTATACCCATCCTGATTCCTCCTTTGGTACTGTGGTTCCTGCTGTTTGTCCCAGCTTTTGCTAATTCAAGATAATCTTTTTTGAGAGGCACCAGCAGAGACAAAGATCTTCCATTCTCTGGCTCACTTCTCAAATGCCACGGCAGCTGGGGCTGGGCCTGGACCGACACTAGGGGCCAGGGTTCAATCTAGTTCCCCTGTGTGGGTGTCAGGGACTCATGCATTTGAGCTCTGTCACTTATCACTTGCTGCTTCTGGGTGCTGGAAACCAGAATTAGCAAGAAGCCAGGTTCTTGAGCAAGGCCATGATTTGAACCTAGACACTGTGGTGCAGGATGTGATCGTCCAAGCAACGTCAACCACTGTGCTAGATGTGCTCCTCTCAGACTTGTATAAAGAAGTCAGGACATCCTTAGTATTTTTAACAGGTGAATTAAAATGTATTTGAGTGGAAAATCTGTAGTGTTTGCCATAAAATAACCTCAGACTACATTTTTTTTTAAAGATTTATTTTTATTATTTTTTCATTGGAAAGGTGGATATACAGAGAGGAGAGACAGAGAGGAAGGTCTTCCGTCCGATGATTCACTCCCCAAGTGAGCACAACGGGCCGATACTATGTCGATCTGAAGCCAGGAGCCTCTTCCGGGTCTCCCACGCGGGTGCAGGTTCCCAAAGCTTTGGGCCGTCCTCGACTGCTTTCCCGGGCCACAGGCAGGGAGCTGGAAGGGAAGCGGGGCTGCCGGGATTAGAACCGGTGCCCATATGGGATCCTGGGCGTGCAAGGCGAGGACCTTTAACCACTTGCGCCACCGCGCCGGGCCCAGATTACATTTTTTAAAAGGTTCTCTTGTGTTTGTTTATATATACTATATATATATATATATAATATTTGAGAGATAAGAGAACAGAGTTGAGGAGGCAGAATCTGTTGATTCAGTTCCCAAATGGGCAGCAGGGATGGGCTAGGACGAAGTTGGGAGCCAAGAATTCCGTCTGGGTTCTCAGATGAGTGGCAGGTGCCCAGGCATGTCAGCTGGAAGCTGGATGGGAAGTCTGGCACTCCCATTTGGGACCCTGGAGTTGTACATGAATTAACTGTTAAACCCAGTGTACCCCAAAGCAGGCCCTTGGGGTTAAATTCCTAATCCGGTTCTGTTTTATAGTCATACCTCTTGAAAGGTGTGTGATTATACATAGTAACAGGTTGACTGCATGTTGCTGCTGTATTCGTTGGATGCATATGCAATGATATTTTGAAAACAAGTGTAAATTATTACATCAATATAACAAAATTACTTTCCTCTGATTTGTATTAATGTCAGTTCGTTTTCTCTTTAAACAGATGATGAATAAGGTATTTGGAGGCACCGTGCACAAAAAAAGTGTTAGAGAAGATGGAGTGTTCAACGTTAGTGTCGATAACACATGCTCATTATTCAGGTATTATATTTTTACATTAATGTAACGTTGCTACTGTTATGCATCAGAATTGCAGATTCTGTAATTCAAAAGCAGATAGGGTCACAGTAGAGAATGGTGATGGTGTTCATTTAGGAATACGGCCGGTACTTACACCAACACCTAAAGTGCAGTACCTGCGCGGTGGTGGACTGTTTGGGGTTGTTTACTGTCATGTCAGCATTTCTGCGTTTGCGTTTCCTGGAGTGTAATTTTAAGCATTGGTATACCAGATGTGACAAAGGGATAATGTTTCAAACTGTCCTGCGTCTGCAGTGCTCACGTGCATGCATCCTTTGCCTGCCCACCTCCTTCCTAGGCGCTTGCAGTCAGTACTGAATGTGTCTGTTATTTGCTTCCTCCTTACTTGCTCTGCATTGAGATAGAGTTGTATCTTGCTGTGCAGTCTTTTTGACACAATGAAAGAATTTGTTTTATTGCTCCTTGATAAAGACTGTAGCTCAACTGTCTGAATTTTGATGAGTGGGGTTAGAGTAAGCTATTCAGTAGCTTGCTCAACTCATCTTTTGCTTTATTGAGAAAAATTAAAATCTTGAATGATATTTTTTTGACAAGCTGCAAAGTGTGTGTCTAAGTCACTTGTTTTTTTTTTTGAGGGTTTTCTTTGTGTAAGCTCCACTTAATAAACTTTTTAAACCTGTATTTTACTTAGAAAAAAAAACAAACAAGTTTTCTCTTAACTGTGTTAACCTCTAAAAATCAGTTTGATATAGGACTAGTGAAGTCATTTTCAGCATCTCTTTATTTAAAAGGCAGAGATGGGATAAGACGGTTCTTCACCTTCAGGTTCACTCCTAGTATGGTTGCAGTAGTTGGTAGGTGGCCAGGAACCTGGAGCTCCATCTTTTAGGCCTAAATTTGCAGAAAGCTGGAGTTAGGAGTTGGAAATTGAACCGAGGCACTTTGCTTTGAGATGTAGTTGTACTTGCCAGGCAGAACATGCGTTCCCTGTAACATTGTTTTCCTGACAATTCCATTGACTAGAATCTAAATTTTTTTTAAGATTGATTTTTTTTTTAATCGTAAAGTCAGATTTACAGAGGTGAGACAGAGAGAAATATCTTCTGTCTGATGGTTCACTTCCCACATGACCACAATGGCAAGAACTGAGCCAATCCTAAGCCAGGAGGTAGGAACCTCTTCCGGGTCTCCCACTCGGGTGCAGAGTCCCAAGGCTTTGGGCCGTCCTCGACTGCTTTCCCAGGCCACAAGCAGGGAGCTGGATGGGACCTGGAGAAGCCTGGTTACAAGCCAGCACCTGCCTAGGGTCCCGGCTCCTGCAAGGCGAGTACTTTACGCACTTGACTACCACACCGGACCCCTACAGTATTAATAAATAATTCATCCCAAATTGGATAGATCAGAAACTTGAGAATTCAGCACGAGAGTATTCAGAATGTCTGCGGAGTGGCAGCATTGAGCAGGTGACACTGTCACCTGTAATACCAGCGTCACACAGGGACTCTGGTTTGTGTCCCAGCAGCTCGGTTTCCAATCCAGCTCCCTGTAGTCTCCTGGGAAGAGATGCAGAGGTGACCCCAGTGCTTGGGCATCTGAACCCACGTGGGAGACTTGGTCGAAGCGTCTGGGTTTCGCCTGTCCCAGCACTTGCCGTTGGCATCTGGGGGTGAAGCAGCAGATGAGTGGTTGCTCACTGTTTCTCTCCACTCTACCCTTCTGTCCTTTTCTCGTGCTCTCTTTCAAATAAACGAATTTTAAAAGTCCGTGGACATTTGTCTCATGAAAATATACGTGGATTTAAACATTTTTGCATCAAAAGAACTTTGTTTCATTTTTGATGAACTTTGAAGTATGTTTGTATATTCTACTTTTTGTCCAAAACTGGCTGTGTCTGGCTCTTGGTAAATATTGAGGAATAGTCACAATAGGTGGATGATCTCTTTTTAAGAATTTTTACATTTTAATTTTGAAAAAAAGCAAAAAATAATTTTTAAAACCTGGAAGCCTCTTACTGATAAAATTCATTAGAAATCCTGAGTTTACTTCATGTCATCATGGAGCGCTGTTTACTTAACCTTTATTCAAATGGTTGATTTTCAGAATTTCTTCAGCAATTCATTAGGATTTATGATGCTGTAATAAATCTTTAAGCATCTAGTTATGATTTTTTTTCTTCTAATTGTAAAATTTTAGGACTCCATTACTGCCTACACTGTTTTTCTTTTCTATTTTTAAGATCTGTGTTTATTTGAAAGGCAGAGACAGGTGCAAACACAGGTTTTCCATCTGATGGTTCACTCCACAAGTGGCTTAAACAGCCAGGGCTCAGCCAGACAGAGCCAGGAGATAGGAGCTCCATATTTTTGTGAGAAAGTCAGATCTGCAGAGAGAAGGAGAGACAGAGAAAAAGACCTTCCATCCACTTGTCTACTCCCCAAGTGACTGCAACAGCCAGAACTGAGCTGATCTAAAGCCAGGACCCAGGAGCTTCTTCCAGGCACCCTACATGGGTGCAGGGTCCTCTACTGCTTTCCTAGGCTAAAAGCAGGGAGCTGGATGAGAAGCAGGGCCACCAGGACACACACTGGCACCCATAAGGGATCCTAGAGTGTGCAAGGCAAGTAGTTTAACCACTAGGCTATCGCCCCGGGCCTGCTTTATTTTATTTTTAAAATTTATCTTATTTGAAAGACTGAGTGAGCACACAGTTGGTTTTCTTATTTCTCATCTACAGTCCATGCTCACAATGCCTGCAACTGCTAGGGTGAACTTAGGCCACAGCCAGGAGCTGGGGATTGAATCTGACGGTCGCACAGGAGTAACAGGAATTCATCTACTTGGGCCGTTCCCTGCTTCCTCTCAGTGCACACACTGAACGGGGGAGGGGGCGGGGGTTGGACTCAGAATTACAGCTGGAACCAAAGCCAGGCACTCCTGTATGGGTTGTGCTGAGTGGAGTCCCAGCCTCTAAACCAAGCATTCATCCACTGTTTATTTGTATGTAATTCTTTAATGTGTTCCTTATCAAAATTTTCTCATTATGTAAATAAGGTCTTTTTTGGTTGAATTGTTTTATCGCAGTCCAGAGAAAGTCCACCCATTGCGTTTGATTAATGCTGGCTAAGTATCGATCTGTAGAAGCTCCCCACTCCCAGAAGTTCCTTAATTAAATGCTGCTAATTTGCCTCATACTAGGCTGTCATTGTTTCTAAAACTTTTCAGTGAACAAAGTTGGCAGTGGCTATTCTTGAAAGAAAGAAGATCTTTTACTATACATTATTAAAGTGAAAAATCAGTTCTCTAACACCTTTGATATCCCGATTCACAACACTTAAACCAAAAAACTGAAGATTACTGATTACAGTATGAATATATTGTACAGGGATGCACCGTTAATTATTGTGACATAAAACTAGTGATTAAACCATTAAGGTGTTTGGAATATCTGTGTTACAAACAACACAATGGAGATACAGTGTTGAAACTGTTAGAGAGCAAGAGAGAGGATACCAGGTACAGGTGTGGGGTGTCAGGAGTCTACAGCCGAGCTTGGCACTAGCAGTCCCTGCTGCACTCCAGAACCACCACCCGCTATGGCCCAAGTCGGGAGTCTTCAAGCTCCCGTTGGAGTGCAACAGCCAGGGATTTTTTTTTTTTTTCTAAAACTATCCAATCAGCAGATGACATTCTGGTGCACGCAGTACAAATCCTCCAGCTTCACCTTAAAACTCAGACCACACCTTTAGCCAGTCAGCCGGCAAGTGTATTTATAGAAGCAGATAACTGTGGTTAGCTGTGCTCAAAATTTAGTTAAGGAACCAACATGAAGTCGCACCTACCCACTGCTGTGGGGTGCTGTCACCTGGCTACACCATCAAAAAGTAATTTTGTGAGCTCTTAATCTTTTTCTGTATGACTATGCTACCAAAATAACATATTTGTTTAGTGTTCAATTTTTTATCGATTATAATACTTGAGATTTAATACTCTTTCATTGGCTTTATTTATAAAGGACACAAAAAATTAAATGCTAGTAGTGAAATATTGCTGCATTCTTTTGTATTTTTAATGCATATGTAAGACAATTTTGTATTTCTAAGGAAGAGAACTCATCAAGTTTTAATTAAGAAATGTGTTATTTTCTTTTTTGTTTGTCTTAGGAGTCTTCAGAAGGAAGAAATTGTTCTGCTTACACATGGAGATAGTGTAGACAAAGTGGCTGATGGATTCAAGGTTGTGGCGCGTTCCGGAAACATCGTAGCAGGTGAAGAGTCTAAAACTTGTATGAACTTCATTGAAATAGATCTGAAGAAAATGTAATCTTGAAATCACTTGTTGGCTTTGAAATACTTTTTTTAAGAAAAGATTTATTTTAAAAAAAAAGAAAAAAAAGAAAAGATTTATTTATTTTTATTGGAAAGTCAGATAAGAGAGGAAGATCTTCCGTCCACTGGTTCACTCCCCGAGTTGCCTCAGCGGCTGAAGCTGAGCCTTACCAAAGCTAGGACCCTGGAGCCTCTTCCAGGTCTCCCACGTGGGTGCAGGGTCCCAAAGCTTTGGGCCGTCCTCGACAGCTTTCCCAGGCCACAGGCAGGGAGCCGGATGGGAAGTGGAGCTGCCAGGGTTAGAACTGGCGCCTATATGGGATCCTGGCACATTCAAGGCTAGGACTTTAGCCGCTATGCCACTGCTCTGGGCCCTGAAGTCCTTTTAAAAATGTTCATCCTAATAAAGACTTTGATGCATAAAACACTGCTTTTATATCTCAGTAAAAGAATTTGAGAATGCTCATGGTCGTCCTGTGGTTACTGATTGTTATGCCTGTCTTGGTATAAGTAGACATGTACGTGAGATGTGTCCGTGACTGCTAGGGCATTTCTGTCACCCAGAGTTGGCAGACTGGCCAGCTTAACCTGTGGTTTGCTTTTCTGTGCCCAGAGCTAAGGCTGGTTTTGTTATCTAAGGGTTAGGATAAAGCAGGAGCACTACATATGTCTTACAAAGCCTGAAGTATCTGCTCTCTGGCCTAGGCAGAAAGTTTGCTGATCCATGTTCTAAATAACTTGTTCTATACTTTCTTGTGAAAGATGGAGATGTTTTGATATGCCTACCCGAATAATGTTGTAATCAATTTCTATCTGTCTTAGAAATAAATTAATAAGTTCATCAATAAAGCCTGTTTTGTTTGAGATACTGCACCTAATAATTTAACAAAAATTTATGGCCAAACTTATCAACAGTATATATAGATGGGCTAGTGCATTTTTAATCATTCAGCAAATATTTGTGTACTTAGCTGTATATCGGGGACAGTTCTGGGAGTCAAGGATATAGTAGTAGCCAAACAGACAAAATTCTTGTTTTAACATTAGAACAGAGAAGACATAATACACATATTCATAGGGTTGAAAGATAGTGTCTATTTTGGAAAAAGTGATGAGGTGTTTGAGAATTGTTACTATGCTTTACTATAGTTGTTTTATATGTGATATTCAGAAAAGATATTCCTGTAAAATGGCATTTCACCTAAAGATAGTGTTCAGCTCTGGAGAAAGAGGAAACAAACCGTAGACCATGTTGAAGAACAGCAGAACGGCAGTGAATTAGGATTGGAGCAGTGCAATCCTGGAAGAAAATAGAAAATAAAGTACTTGAAAAGTGTGTGGATCATGGCAGACAGACATCTTTATTTTGGAGCAGGTGTTTCTGAAACGCACGCATGGATTTTTTTTTTTTCTTTTTCGTTTTGTATATTTTCCATGAGTTCTTTGAAGATCCCATGCAGTGGAGATCAGAGTACAGGGACGTTAAAGCATCGTCAGCCTCGGCTTGTCCTGCAGTGAGGTAGGGTTTGAGCCATAGGGAGACATGATTTACTGTAGGATTATGCTTCAGTGAAGACAGAAAGAAGCAAGATCGAAGATACAAGAAGCAGCAAGAGCAGCTAGAGACAGTTTTTTCTTGGACAGGGAAACAGGTGCAGTAATCATGATTGGATTCTGACGTGTTTGGAAGGGAGAGACAGAGAATTTACTCTTAGATTGGATGCAGAATGGGGTAGACAAAGTAGAATCAAATTTTAATTTCTATGTTTTTTAGCCCAAATAGTCAGGAAGACAGTTTCTGTTTACCTGGAAAGGCCCTAGGACTGTGGGTTGGCATTATTAAATTAAAAATGCTTTATGAAAGCTCAGGATGAAGGTGGCTGTATGTGTGTCTGCATTCTGCAGGGTCAACCTGGGGCTGGAGAGTCGGGGTTGATGAGCATATGCAGTCAGGAGAGCTTGAGAACCTTTGGAGTGTGTAGAGAACCGATTTAAAGACTAAGAGCTGAGTGATTTCGTTGTATAGGGTTAGGCAAGGTCAGAGGGTTCAGCAAAGATTGAGAAGGAACAGATAGTAAAACAAAAATTGAATCCAGAGACTGGAATTCCGGAAGCCAAAGTAAAAAGCATGAGACTGTGTGATGAGTAGAATGAAGAAGAGGTCAGGAGCAAAAATGGCTTGATTCTTGATACATTGTCTTAGCATCTCAGAGCCATCAAATAAGGATAATATTTTTATATACACATGTAAAACATCTTATAATACTTGTCTAAAGCAAATTATTCAAGTGAAGTTATGTGGAGAAAATATTATCAAAAATCATTTAGTGTATGCTGATAAGTTTGGCATATAAATTCATTTCGCACAGAAACGTGGAAGCTGCACATTGGATGTGAAGTCCTTATGGCTCTGAGAATCAATACTGAGTTGTTACTGTGTTAAACAGACAAAACGAAGGAGGTTTCCTAGACAAGTAAGAGTGAAATGATTGTGTAGGATTTATTGTACTGTTTTATAAGCCCATTATTTGCTGTATTAGAGATCTTTAGATAGTTATGGTAATGAAGCTTTTGTTTATATTATAGTTTTTTTTGCTCTGTAGCCAAAGGCAACTGAACTATATTGGTTTTAGAGTTATAGAGGAGGTTGTAGATACCAGTTGAGTCTTTATCAACATGAAAATAATTTGATTTGTGATTATTTCCTTTATAAAGGTATAGCAAATGAATCTAAAAAGTTATATGGAGTACAGTTCCACCCTGAAGTTGGCTTGACAGAAAATGGCAAAGTAATACTGAAGAATTTCCTGTATGATATAGCTGGGTGCAGTGGAACTTTCACTGTGCAAAATAGAGAACTTGAATGCATTCGGGAGATCAAAGAGCAAGTAGGCTCATCGAAAGTTTTGGTAAGCAGTTTATCACCTGCTTTCTGTCTACACATTTATGTTGGTAGTGTTGGAATGCAGCTCTGGATTCCTCAGTGCAACCCATACCTGTTGACTGGGTGAATACACCTTATGTGTACTACAGTTTTTGAAGTGGATTTCAACTACTATACATACCTTTGACATAGTAGTATGTTTACATAATGATTAAAGCTACCAGTTTTGTTTCTTTTTTTGCTTTTCTGCTAAGTAGGATTTATTTCTTTTCATTTAACCCGGCAGGTTTTACTCAGTGGCGGAGTAGACTCAACAGTTTGTACAGCTTTGCTAAATCGTGCTCTGAATCAAGATCAAGTCATTGCTGTGCACATTGATAATGGCTTTATGAGAAAACGAGAAAGCCAGAGTGTTGAAGAGGCCCTAAAAAAGCTTGGAATTCAGGTCAAAGGTATTGATGAATCTTAGAAAGAGCTAATTTGCATATTGAAAACTGGTCAAATGAAATGAACACACTGCTTTGACAATTACACTTTCTTTCAATGAACTTGTGGAAGTGCTTGTTTTTGTTCCATCAGAATTGCTTCTGGGTCAATAAAGGTCTCATTTTAGCATTTCAACCTGTTGATTTGTATTAATGTTACACTTAGTTGGATGTTACTACTTTCAGCTGTTTTGTTCTCTACTGGTCACTAAGTGGTCTTTGCCTATTTTGTACCCAAGGACTTTTATATATAGATGCATAAATTATTTTGCAAGCAGAAAAACTTGTGGAAAGGGGAATGAAGAGTCTAGTGTTTTTTTTAAAGGACTAATTTTTACAGCCATTAGTAAACTTCTGGGTTTCTTTTTTAATGTAATTGAAAGCCAGACTGACAAGGAGAGACAGAGCGAGGTGGTATGGGGTGGGACAGGGTGGTTGGAGGGGAGAGTGATATCTTGTGTTTTTGGTTCATTCCTCAAAGTGCCACAACCACCAGGCTAGGTCAGGCTGAAGCTAGGAACCAGAAACTCCGTGCACGTTCACACATGGAGGCTGGGAATCAAGGGCTCAAGTCCAAGCACGTTAGCAAGGAGCTGGATTGGATGTGGAGGGGCTGCGACTCAAACTCACTGTGATATGGGGTGTAGACACCCGAAGCTGCAGTTTGACGCACCATTCTGTAACACCCACCTCACTAGTAAATTTGTTAGTCTGTTGGCATCATTTTTTCTTAAGGATATTAGAAAGAATTATGGGAGAGAGAGAAAAGCTTCCATCTGCTTGTTCACTCCCTAGATGCTTTAGTAGAAGAGAGATTAAAGTCATTTCACGTTAATTTAGCAAATCCAGGCCTGGTGCAATGATGCAGTGGCTAAATCCTCATCTTGCAAGCACCAGGATCCCACATGGGTGCCAGGTCATGTCCTGACTGCGAGCCTCTGTCTAGCTCCCTGCGTTGGAAGGCAGTGAAGGATTGCCCAAAAGCCTTGGCACCCTGATCCCTTGTGGGAGACCCAGAGGAAGCTTCTTGCTCCTGGCCTTGTGTTGGCTCAGCTCTGGCTGTTGTGGCCGCTGGAGTGAATCAGCAGATGGGAAATCTTTCTGAATATTCTTTTCCTATAAAAATAAGGGGGAAAAAAGGCAGAATGTAGTAAAAATCAGCACCTAATGATAACTTCTTCTGCCTTCCACTTTGTTCAGCCCTGGAGGTTATTAAGGAGGGAGACTGGGGGAGTCTTTGGTATAATTGACCATCTTAAGGGAAAGATGTACAGATTCAGTGAAATTCCCGACTGCCTTAGCCTCTTGGGGTGTAAAGTTTACTTGTAGTTAAGCATTGCTACTAAATGGAGATCTTAGTTTTTATTTCTTTGTCCTTAATATTAAAGAACCACCAAGGATCACTAAACATATGTTCAAAAGAGACTTAACAGTCCAAAGGACTTTGATTGTCTGCAGATGAACTGCTGCTTTGCCTGCCTGAGGCTGTGCTTCTTGCTGTAGCTTTTGTGTTGTCCTGCTGGAGCACTCAACAGAGGGACAACATGCTTGTTGCCATCCTGGCCTTGGAGTTCTCAGAACCAAATTCCAAGAATGCCCATGGCTGACTGTGTGTGACTCATGCTATATTGATGGAACATGGAGGTAGATTTACATGAGTTCTAAGAGTCCGCTCAGGATTTTTTTTCCTGTTAGTTTAAAATATTTCTCTCCTTTCCTCTAGTAATAAATGCTGCTCATTCTTTCTACAATGGAACAACTACACTGCCAATATCAGATGAAGACAGAACCCCACGAAAAAGAATAAGCAAAACATTGAATATGACTACAAGTCCTGAGGAGAAAAGAAAAATCATTGGGGATACTTTTGTTAAGGTACTTTTCTTTTAAATTATCTGACATGTATGGTGGCAGCTGAGTGAGGGGGAGTTCCCCTCTCTGCTTGGTTGGTCCCCAAGCCCATGAGAGAGATTGAGCTTGCCTGAAGCCAGGAGCTGGAGAACAGTCCTTGGCTCCCACCCATGGGTGACACGGACCTGGGGGCACGAGCCGTCATTGCTGCCGCCAGGAATCTGAAATCACTAGAGACTGAAGCAGGAGCTGGTGCCTTGGGTGTTGAGTGGCGTGGGTCGGACATCCCAGCCCAGCCCCACTGGGTTGGGACCAAATTCCTGCTCTCATACGTTTCTTTGAATATCTTCAGTTTGTTCTGTAAGGAGTCTTCAGAAAGTTTATTAAAATTGCATGTTATGAAAAATTGTGTGTGACTTTAAAATATGCAACAAATTTAATTTCATTTTTCTACAAAGCATTTGATGTGAATCTTAATGTTTCACTTTTTAACCATTATATTAAATAGTCAACAGATTTTTTAAAAGATTCACTTATTTTTATTTATTTTAAAAGACTTATTTTTATTAGAAAGTCAGATATACAGAGAGGATAGACGGAGTGGAAGATCTTCAGTCCAATGATTCACTCTGCAAGTGGCTGCAATGGCCGATGCTATGCCAATTCGAAGCCAGGAGCCTCTTCTGGGTCTCCCACATGGGGGCAGGGTCCCAAGGCTTTGGGCTGTTCTTGTCTGCTTTCCCAGGCCTTAAGCAGGGAGCTGGAAAGGAAATGGAGCTGCCGGGATTCGAACTGGTACCCACATGGGATCCTGGTGTGTGCAAAGCGAGGACTTTAGCTTCTAGTCTACTATGATAATTTAGCGCCAGGCCTCCCACCATAGCTTTTTTTTTTTTTTTAGATTTTATTGGAAAGGCAGATTTACAGAGAGAGAGAGACAAAGATTTTCTTCTGTCCACTGGTTCACTCCCCAAGTTGCAACAGCCAGAGCTAAGAAGATTCAAAGCTAGGAACCCAGAGCAGCTTCTTGGTCTCCCTTGCCCAGGTCATAATCAGGGAGCTGGATGGCAAGTGGAGTAGCCAGGATACGAACAGGCTCCCATATAGGATTCTGGCATGTGCAAGGTGAGGACTTTAGCCACTAGGCTACCATGCCGGGACTCACCATAGCTTTTTGAATCATGTTAAAAGCATATATTTTTCAAAGAGTTTATTTTGAAGAATGGTAGATTTTACTTCATAGTCATTGTTGCAAAAGGGCTCTAGGAAATTTGAATGAATATAAAATTTTACTTTTAAAAAACATCTAGCTCTTACAAGGCTATTTTGTGTTTTGTGGTTACAGATTGCCAATGAAGTAATTGGAGAAATGAACCTGAAACCAGAGGAGGTTTTTCTTGCTCAAGGTACTTTACGGCCTGATCTGATTGAAAGTGCATCATTTGTTGCAAGTGGCAAAGCTGACCTCATCAAAACCCATCACAATGACACAGAACTTATCAGAAAGTTGAGAGAAGAGGTAAAACTTATGTGAACTCTTCCGTAAAGTACATATCTGGAGAACCTGTTTCCCGGGGATGTAGAGCTGCTTTCATTGCTCACTAGGAACCCCCAGGGCCCTCAGCAGTCACTCCTTAGCCTCCTCCCGGCACGAGGCAGGCAGCAACCACTAATTTATCTTTTGTTTCTATAACAGAAATCCAACATATGGGATTAAAAAGACAGTTGGCTTCTTGTGCTAACCATGGTGTTTGTTGGATTCAGTTATGTTGTAGCACGTATTACAAGTTGTTTTTCACTGCCGGGTAGTAGTTCAATATAAATATATGCCCCATTGTATTTATCCATTCATGAGTTGGTAGACCTTTGAGTTGTTTTTTGTTTTGGCTGTTTTAACTACTGGTGTTATGTGTGCCGGTTAAAGTTTTGTGGAAGTATGTTTTCATTTTTGTTGCTGTTTTCCTAGAAGTCGTGCTGCTTAGGTCAGAGGGTTAACTCTGTTTTTATATTTTGAACTACCGAATGTTAGGAGGCACCATGCCCCGGTCTTCACAGTGTGAGGTCACAGTCTTCAGTCTCACCAGGAGTGCTGGGTACCTTTTTCTTTTTTTTTGAGGTCAGACACAAAACAAAACCTACCATGTGACCATTTTGTCAAGTGAATGTACCTACATTTACAGTGAGTGAATTCTCCATACTTCACAGTTCCTGTGGCAGCACAGACTGCTTGCTGACAGCACATCGCTGGTGACTGCCGTTCTCTGTGCTCATTGGACTGTCCTAACCTCCCGTTTTGCAATTTTGCAATTGTTGTGTTTTACTTCAGCAAAATGTCTTCATTGTCCTTGTTACAGTGTATTACAGAGTTCTCTCATTCTTTACAAATGAATCATATCCTCTGTGTGTCTGTCACATTTTACCTGTTCACTGGTGGACATTTAGGTTGCTTCCGTCTTTTGGCCATTGTGAATAGCGCTGCTGTGAATTTGTGTAATGCAGATACTTAGAGATACTTTTGCATGCTTACCCAGAAGGCAGTTAGGCAATTGCTAATTATGCTAATAAAAGGGGATATTAGAGTTCTGTTTTTGGGCTTTTTTGGAAGAGGTTTCATAGGGTTTTCTATCGAAATTGCATTATTTTGCAATCCAGCCAGCAGTTTAGTTTCTTTCTTTTTTTAATGATACTTGTCCGAATGAATTTACTACCTGTGAATATATTTCACTGGTTTTGACTGTTTCTTTGACTATGGTGTTATTGAGTATCTTTTAAAATTTTATTTTCAATGTAGTTTAAATAGTGAAAAGGATGTACCTCCATGTGGGCCACTAGTCAGTGGGGGGGGGAGGGGTCGAGGTATGGAGCGAGGGGTGGGACAGGTGTTTTCCATTTGTGTCTGCACTGGGGGTGGGAGCAAGCCAGTAGCCTCTCCTTGTTGCCAAATTACATCAAGTAACTGTGAAAGGGACACTGTCGTTGGATGTCATTTTAGAGACCCCACTGTACGGCAGAGTGATGGATGGATGGATCCTTGAGTAGTTTTGATAGTTTTGAGTTGTTGGTTTCATTGCTGAAGAGTTGAGAAAATCTTTCTAAGCTGTGTTGATTGATAAAGTCCACCTCAGTGCATCCAGACACTTGTTCCAAGGCTTGAACAGGAGAGCTATCCACCCTGTTCTGCTGTCCATCCTCTGACAAGGCAGCCAGTGTCCCCTGCTGCCTAGATGGTAAGCCGTCATGGCCTCCGTGTACACGTGGGCATAGTGTCCCCACTGCACAGGCAGTAGCAACTGATAAGGCCCAGTCTTGACACATGCACTCCAAGGTCGAACTAAGTATGTATTTTCCCTGTGGCTGGGGTTTGAGTCCAGTTGTCTTGGTTGGGGAGTTCCCCAAGAAACCTTGCCTGGGATGACCCCAGCCCTGACTCTTGTGTGCGCTAGCTGGTGTGGGGTCCACTTCAGTTTGTCACCCACACCAGCCCATGCACATCCTGGTGAGCTGGTCAGCTCTGCCCTCACCATATCTCCTTTGTAAATCAATCCCAATCCAGCCCTCTCCAGCCCAGCTCTTAGGCACACCAGCAGAAACTGCAGCCTAGTCAGGACAATCGCTAATAGCCCCAACCAGGCCTGACTTGAGTTCTGGCATCTGAGTGAGCTGGCATGTGCAGCTGTCTAGACTGGTCTGTGCCACAGCCATCCAGCTTCTGCACATACCCGTGCATGCTGTAGCTATGGCTTAGTCCAGCTACCCTCCTACCCAGCATACACACATGCTGATGAGTGCTGTCACCCTATCCAGCTTGGTCCACCTACAGCCCTGATTCTTGTGCTGACTGCCAGGAACATTAGCTTGGCAGAGGAATACCCACAGTTCCCCTGCTAGTCCCACTTCCAGCCCCAGGTCCTGCTCTTGCTAGGGGTTAGTGCCGTCCAGCCTGACATGAGTTGTGCCCAGTCCCAGCACTTGCCAGGGGATGGAATGGCAAAGCCCAGCTGACTACCCCTTCCTGTGGCTCTTGCATGTGGCAGCAAATGTGGTGGCCTAGCCTAGCACAGCCCTTCCCCAATTCGTATGCAGGCCGATGGGTGTGGCAGCCCTGCCATCCTGCTCTGCCCATGTTCAACATTGGGAGTAGTGCTCCAGCAGGAGGATTCTTGACATTTCCCTTCCAGTTTTGCATCCAGTGAGCGTCTTGCACCTGCCTGTGAGTGCTGTAGCGCAGTCTGACATGCCCTGGCCTGTCTTGCCTCTGTGTTTGCTGATGGGTACTGGAGCCTGGCTCTGCTACAACCAGTCCCAGCTTACCCTGGCCGGTGCTGCAGACTAGCCAGCCTGACCAACCCCCTTTCTCGGCCCTCATGTGAACTGGCAAGTATTGGGGTCCATCCCAGCCTGGCCTACAGCCCCTCCTGGCTCTGATACCTGCTGTGGACTGACCTGACACGGCCCGTGCTGTCCCCAGGCTTTGCTCTTGCTCTGACGAGCAGGAGCTGCAGCCTAATAGGAATTCAACAAAATTTTCCCTGTCAGACCAGCTCCCGGTCTTGGGTTTTGAGTGGACCAGTAGGTGCTCAGCACAGCCTGACGTGGTCTGCCTGCAGTCCTGGCATTCACTGGTGGGTGCTGTGGCCCTTCCTGACTGGCCCACACCCATTTCAGTTTTTAGCCGGTGGTTACCACATCCTGGTCCTGCCTCACCTACCCCCAGACTCAACTCATGTGGACCAGCCCACTCCCAATCTGGCTCTTGCGAGTTCCAGGAATTACTGGGGTCTGGCCCAATCTGGACCATTGAGCATCTTTTCAAATTTTTGTTGGCTGTTTGTATAAAAATCTTAGAAAATTCTGTTCCTTTGTTCATTTTGAAAATTGGCTTGATTATCTAATTGTGTTTTGTAAAATTATGCTGATTGTAAATCTTTAAAAATGTGACTAGTAAACTTTTTAAATCTTCTGTGGATTGCCTTTTCCTGTAATTTTTAGAGTTAATTCATTCATTCATTTATGTTGCAAAGGAAGATATACAGAGAGGAAGATCTTGCATCTGCTGATTTACTCCCCAAGTGACTACAAAGTCTAGAGCTGAGCCGATCCAAAGCCAGGAACTTCTTTGGGGTCTCCTGCACAGCCGCAGGGCCCCAAAACTTTGAGCCATCCCCTACTGCATTCCCAGGCCTTAAGCAGGGAGCTGGATGGGAAGTGGAGCAGCCAGAATATGAACTGGTGCTCATATAGGATCCCGGGTGTGCAAGGCAAGGAGTTAGCCACTAGGCTACCGCACCGGGGCCAAGGTTTTAGTTTTAAAACAGTAGTATGATATTTACTACCCCTCTATAGTGTAGAATTTATTTCTTTTATATGTTTTAAGTAACCTATTTACTTGTCCTTCTTATGGAGCCTTCAGTATATGGCGTAAACTCCTTATTTTTCTCTAGATGTGGAGCCCATAGGTGTAAGATGCTTCATTGAGAGTGACTGGGTTATTACTCTGACTTAGCTTTGCAGGGTTTGTGTTAAAATGTTTCCACTGAAATATTCATCTAATTCTTTGCAAAAGCAGAGGACTAAAAACTTTAAAATGTATACTTTTAAAAACAATTCTGTGATGCAGGAAAACGACATATAGGAAATGCCTGCTCTCCTATCACTGTTTCCCAAGTCATTTTTGTTACTAATTTGTATTAATTGCCTTTTTCGCTCTTCCTTATAGGGAAAAGTAATAGAACCTTTAAAAGATTTTCATAAAGATGAAGTGAGGATTTTAGGCAGAGAACTTGGTCTTCCGGAAGAATTAGTTTCTAGGCATCCGTTTCCAGGTAAACAATAGAGTTAAATGTTTCATTGTGTCTTTAATCCTTCCTGTTTAGGAAAAATCAGTGAAAATAATTTTGAAACAATGTTTTATTTCAGGATTATGTCATATAAGAGAAAAGAAATGATGGTTAAGAAGCAAACATACTGTTGGGGATAGCTAATGTATTTTACTAAATGCTCATTTTCTGTTGCGTTTGTAGTAAGTTGTCTCTGGCGTGGAAGTTTTAATAACATTGCCATCAGTCCTGGGTCTGGAATCTGTGTGATCTTTGTCTTGTGCCATGATGGGCGTTCCATGGAAGGAGGGTGGACCACATCGGACTTTCTAAAATCCTTATCAGTGTCTGATTTATCTGGACGAAGCACTTCATTTGTATAACTAAGTTAAGAATAAGGGAGTTTAGTTTTCTTAGAAAAATAGAGGGCATATTTGTTTAAAGTCAAAACTATGTCCTTTTTTTAAAATTTTGTAGGATTTGTTTTGTTTATTTGAAAGGCAGATCCATGTGTTCGTTGTTTTAAGTAATTTTTGTGCTATTTTCCCTAAATTGGATTGGTAATTAAAGCTGGAAACTGATTGTAAGGTTTTTTTTTTTAATGGTGCAATTCTGTGGAATTGTACCATAAAATTCAAAACAAAAAAATTGTCCAAGAAGAAATTTTTTAATCTTTAATAGGTGAAATATAAGCATAGGGAATCGTATTTATAGGAAGAAAATGAAAACATTCCAAAAATGAGTAGAATGGCAAATGTAACTATATTTGAATTAAAATACTTTATGAAGTAAATGAGATGGCAAATCTTAATTTTGAAAGAATATTATGTTTTGGAAATAGTGGTTTTAAAAACATTTTATATTAGATATAAAATGAGAATTATCTTTTATTTCTTGTCTTTAGGTCCTGGCCTGGCAATCAGAGTAATATGTGCTGAAGAACCCTATATTTGTAAGGACTTTCCTGAAACGAACAATATTTTGAAGATAGTGGCTGATTTTTCTGCTAGTGTTAAAAAGGTAATAATTTGACACAGTTAATCAGGGGAAGGAATTGAACTTCCAAAGTAGTACACTTCTGCCTTATTTTTGGGAAGGTTTTTAGGCTTTGATTATTTGAAGAATCAGAATACCATGACCTTTGAAATGACTACTTAAAAGCATTCAAGATACTTTCTGATACAAACTTCTCTGTTTAGCCAGATAATTGTGGATATTCAAATCCCTGAAAGTACTAAAGTGTTTTAAAATGTTCTTTCATACATATTCCAAGGAAGTAAGGGAATTCTTCGATTTAAGAACTCATGGAGAAAATTAGTTCAGGAATCTTCAGCTTCGCTCTGCCAGAGGGTAGCTACTAATATGTAATCAAGGGCTTTGGTTTGAACAATTCCATTCATGCATAGGTATCTAAATGTGGGGGGTTGAATCCATGAAGGAGTGGACATTAGACTATAGAGATGTACAAACTGCACTTTAGCTACAAAGGTCTTAATTCATATGCAGTCTGAAAACAGAATTTATTGTAACGTGGACCTGGATTGGTGGTGCTTCCGGGGGACAGGCCAGAAGCGATGTAACTGCTCTCTGAAAGGTCTTCATTGGGCCCCAGAGAATTCCCGCTGAGTTGAGTTCTAGCAAGTAAGAACTGATGCTCTTTGATTTTTTGTTGTGACACATCATAAATGACTAGCAAAATAAGACTCCTGTGACTTCAGATACTGGCCAAAGCAAGCAGTTCATAGAGTAAATGGAAATAAAACAAGCTATTGATGGCAAACTGTAAGAAACTGGTAAATATGGCAGTGTTAAATTAAGTATTGGAAATAATTGACGTTAAAATTGGCTGAGATGTGAATTAGTGAACAAAATCTGGATGCTAAAAATTGCTCCAGAGTCGGCATTCGGGTTACTGCATGGGAAAACAGTGTTTCAGATCAGAGTGCCTGGGTTCAGCATCCAGCTTCTCTGATGCAGACTCGGGAGGCACTGGGTGACTCAAGTGGGAGGCCTGATTTACATTCCTGGCTTGCAGCTCTGACCTCAGCTAGAGCTTCTGTTGGCATTGGGGATTGAAGCAGCAGTTCACAGCCCTCTGTCTCTGCTTCTCAAGCAGAATAAAAATCAAAGTGTTACCTAAATGCACGTAGTTAAGATAGTAGTAGCCAGGACTGGGCCAGGTATAGAAAAAGACCCGAGGACTCAGTCTGGGCCTCTGCTAACACCTGAGCTATCACCCACTGCTACCCAGGGTGGAACTAGTAGTGGAGCTGGGACTTGAACCCATGCATTGTAATAAAGAATGCAGATACCCAAGTAGTATCTTACTGCTGTGCCAAATGCCACTCCAGAGAACTGTTTTAAAGACCTGACTTCAGGGGAAGCAGAAAGAATCTCAGAACATGTGTCTGAGATACAAGTAGGGATGGGAAGTAAGGGTAAGTGGACTCTGTCATATGAAATGTAATCTCTTCTTTTTGGAATTTGGAAAAAGTTCTAAAAGCATGGGAAGCTGTAAAGGAGTTGATTTGAGTTACAGCATCTCGAGATACCTGTTTGCCAAGACAGTTTGATTTTGTGAAATATTCATATTGATCCTTAAGGAGAGCTTCTAAAAGAATAGATACAGAGGAATTTAAACCAATAAAAGGGGAAATAAATAAGCTTTCAGAAAGGACTAACTCCAAAGATGACAAGAGAAACACAAATGGCAAGACGAATAGAAATGACAGAATAAAACGTTAAATTCAGCATATCATTAAACTACAATTGAAGTAATGACCATTTCTATTTCTAAGACACAGATTGCAAAACTAGTTTAAAAATTTAAACCTATTTTGTATGGAGCAGTAAATTGGGAAAGTATAGTCTTTTCATAAGAGACTTTACTGGTAATATGGATATGAGGAATGGAAATAAAAGTTGGAAACCAGACACCAGGAAGATACACCAAGAGAAGGAAGTGAAGCTATATTAATTCCAGCAAAAATTGACTTTATGACAAAAGGTATTTGACTGAAGTGAGGTTGTTACTTGCTTGCAACAGGTGTCTAAAACCTTGATGTGTGTAATTCTGATCTGTGATTCTTAAATGCTGAGATTTAACTTTCCCGTCATAGCCCTGAGCCTCGGGAATGAATCTCTGGAGTAGGGTGCCTGGTGTGGCCTCCTGCTGTTCATCACTCGGGGTGCATAGATAAGGTAGAAACAGATGCCAAAGGACGAAAACTAAAAGCAGATTCTCTGGTTCTCTTAGCCTCATACGTTATTACAAAGAGTCAAAGCCTGCACTTCAGAAGAGGATCAAGAAAAACTGATGCAAATTACGAGTCTGCATTCCCTGAATGCCTTCCTGCTGCCAATTAAAACTGTGGGTGTACAGGTGAGTTGTGAATCCATTGACTTGCAACATAAGTTTCTGCAGTTTGCATAATATGTGAACACTGAAGAAGTAATTACTTAGGAAAATTAGAATATATGCCACATGTTTTAAAAAGCTAAATGGGCAATACTTTATAGCTTGATCATTAAGCCTGTGATTATAATTGTGTTGTTACACAAATTTAAGGAAAAAAGGGGGAGTTGAAGGAGGGAGGGAAGTATGGTTATGTTAGAATTGTTTCTATGAAATACATGAAATCTCAATCTGTTCTCTACATTAATAAAATTTTAAAGAAGAGAGCTGAATATCCAGGCCGAAGCTTTGTCATTACTCTATAAAGAGTATCTGAATTCTAACCAAGCATAAAAATTAAAAATAAAAAATCACCTGCAGTGCAGTTGGTTTGTTTCATTGTGCCCTGAAGGGCAGATAGAAGAACTCGGGTCCTCATTCAAGTGTGAAAAGCTGAATGTTTTTTTTTTTAACTGTAAACAGCCTCCCCTCCCCCACAATGAAAATCTCACACCATTTAGCTTGTGTTCCCTCTGCCAGTGTTTTTGTTTCTTCAGAATTCCAGCTCTTTCCCTTAACCTGAAGAACAGCTAATACTTCTTTCATATATATTATTCTTTCTAATTGTAAAGGCATATGAAAAAGGTACAGTTATATTTTAAAGTGCTAGTTGTACATATTAAGCACTTTTATTTTTGTGGTTCACCAGTAAGTTTTGGGGGATATATATTGGGCAGGTGGGGAATGAGATAAGTTCTTAGGAATGATTAGGCAAGGCATTTTGATTACAAAACTCTTGCTTCAACTGTCTAATTTAAAAGATTGATTTACTTATTTAAAAGGCAAAGCCAGGACGGAATCTGGGTAAGACTGGGTAGAGGTGGCGGTGTCTGGATCTCCCAGCCACGTGAATGTTTCTGGGAGAATCCGCTCTGGTCCAGCTTCCTGGTGGGAATTGTAGCTGCCTCTCCACTGCTTCCAGGTGGTGGGTGAATCCTGGCCTTGTGGGTGACCAAAGCACCAATGATGCTGGGCTTTGCCCACTGGCCGCCTGGTGATGAGCTCTGCTGTCTTGTGGGTGTGTAATCACTGCCTAGGGACATCCAAAGATAAGACCATTGTACATGTAGATTAGGAATGAATCCTGAGGGACACCCAGTTACATGGCCACTGTACTTGCATGTAAGCAAGGAGATTGAGACTTAATGATCTGCAGGGGAGAGACCAGAAGATCTGTATGGGTCAGACCAGTGCGCCAGCTCACATGGGTATCTTGAGTTGGGCCTGTTAGCATGAGACATTATTGACCACCCCATAGCACTTCACCCCACGGCAGTTCACGCAAAATCTCAGACTGGGGGCCTGTCTAGCAGGGCTAGATCCCTTTACTGAGTGTTGGAACGGGATGGGTCACATTAGGCTGGGCCATTACACTAACCAGCATGTAAGAGAACCAGGTCTCTGGGGGGGAATATGTGGGCCAAACCCTGTGGAAATACAAGTCCTGCTGGTTAGCTCAAGAGTTGGGATGGTGATGGGCTAAGCTAGGTGTTGTGACCATGGAACCTACCAACACTCACAGGTACAGGGACTGAGAATAGTCTGGGCAGGTCCAGGCTGCAGAACTCAAATGTACATCCTAAAACAGGGTGTGAAGTGGAGTGGGCCGGGCTGCAACATTCACCAGCTCTTCAAGGCCAAGATGGAGGGGCAGACTATGCCAGGCAAGGGCCTATCACCTACTGGCATGTATGAGATCTGGGTCTGGGAGTGGGTTGAGTGGGGTAGTTTAGGGAACTCCCTTAGTGGGTTATAGCTCTGGCTTGTGAGCATGTGGTCCAGGCCTGGGGGTCGGACAGGCTGGGCAAGGTAGCTCCAACTGTTGGCGAATGTGTGGGTTGGATTTGGAAGGGGGCTGACCAGGCACAGCCAAGCAAACCTTAATTCACAGGCAAGTGCAGAAACCAGGCTGGAGCACAGGTCATGCTGGGCTGAACCATCAAACCTACCGGTTTGCATGAGCCAGGAATGGGAGCAGATTGAGCAGAGCCAGGTTCTTGCACCTGCCAACAAGAGCTGGGACTGGGGACTGGTTGGGTCAGGCCAAGCTGCAGCATCCAAAGGCAAAGGCAGTTGAGGGATTATACTAAGTTGGGTCAGAACAACCGCTGGCACATGCAAGATCTATGTCAGGGAACAGGCCTGACTGGGAGCAAATTGTTTTTGTCTCACAGTTAAGTGCTTCGTTAATAAATTTGGGCAGATGTTTTTGCCAAAGTAAATGCCAGATCATTCTGGTTTTTAAAGGTGGATAGGTAGTTGGAATGAAAAGTCATTGGACCTATAACATATGTTAAATACTTGAAGTTTTTGTGCTGTTTTCATGATGTCTGAAATGATCCATATGAGATTTACTTACATCATTAGAGAAACATCCAGTTCATAATTTTATTTGAATAGTGTATTTTTGTTTAAAAACGACTTAATAGTGTTTCAGTGGATAAAATCTTTTGAATAGATCTTTAAAGTCGTGTAAAGCTGTTAAATATTTCTGTTTTCAGGGTGATTGTCGTTCCTACAGTTATGTGTGTGGAATCTCCAGTAAAGATGAACCTGACTGGGAATCTCTGATGTTCCTGGCGAGGCTTATTCCTCGGATGTGTCACAATATTAACAGGTGTGTCTAGGAGTTGGCAGTGGTATGAGTTTTAAGGATTTACTGACTTACTGGTTTCAAAGTCATAATAACAGAGACGAGAGGGAGTGCAACACTGTGAGTGTGAGAGAGATTGATGTTCAATCCACTGGTTCAATCCTCCAGATTGCCTCAGTGGCCATGCTGAATCCAGGAGCTCTGTCTGGTTCACCCACTTGGGTGGTAAAACCTAAACGCTTGGGGCATTTTCTGCTGCTTTGCCTTGGCCACTAACAGGGACCTGGATTTGAAGTGGAGCAGCTAGGATGTGAGTCGGTGGCTATATGGGATTACTGCATTACAGGTGCTGGCTTTACCTGCTGTGCTACAATGCTGGCCCCAAGGATTTGTGTTTTTAAGAGCCTCCACTGGGGCCTGGCATGATGGCTCAGTTGGCTTGTCATCCACATCCAAGCACTGTATTGTGTACAGTTTGTCTCCTGGCCTCTCTGCTTCTCATCCAGCTCCCTGCATGTGTCCGGGGAGAGCAATGGAGGATGACGCACAGCCTTGGGATGTGGTACCCATGAGGGAGACCCTGAGAAGGCTCCTGGCTCCTGGCTTCGGATTGGTTCAGCTCTGGCCATTGTGGCCATTTGTGGAGTAAACCAGTGGATGGAAAATCTTCTCTCTAAATCTGCCTTTTCAATTATAGTAAAAAAAATTGTAAAAAAAATATCTTCCATTAACTAAGGCAAAAGTGTAGGTAGAGGTACATGATGTTTTATAGTGAATAGCTGTAATTATGGTTTAAATATGCACTCTGTTCACAGTAATAACTGATTTCTGTTTTGATATTTTATCACAGTGTTATTTGTTTATTTTTAAAAATGAGTTAAAGGAGAAGTATTTTTCTTTTGGAATAAGAAATTGTCTTGAAAAGGTTTATTGTTTTGAAAGGCAGATAAAGGAGGGTTTATTTTATTACCTTGCTTACTCCCCAAGTGGGCACAACGGCTAGAGCTGGACCAGGGTGAGGCCGGGAGCCTGCATCTCCACCCAGGCTCCTCACATGCTGGGCAGTGGCCCCAGTGCCAGGCTCAGCTTCCACTGCGTTCCCAGCCATGTGAGCAGGGAGCTGGATCAGGAATGGAGCACCTGAGATTTGGGCAGGCACTTAAATTGGATGTGAGCCTGCTAGACCACAGCACCAATGTAACATTATTCAAGGTAGCTGTGAAACAGTTAGCAGGTAACATGTTAGCTGTTGGGTTTATGCTAACACCTTTTAAGTCTCAGGATTGACAAGTGTTTGCTGGTTATAGAAGTAAAGGTAGAGATTGGTTAACAGTATTTCGAAAAAAAACCAGAATTAAGCATATGCCAGATACTGTTAAAATGGCTATATTTAAAGTATACCTTATATTTTTTCAAATATCATTTTCATCTCATTTCTACATTACTTTCTTTTTAAAGCTATATTTTGTTTATCGGAAAGGCATGTGTGGGGGAGGCGAGTTTTCTATCTGCTGAAACGCTTCATTTCGTTGTCCCTTACGGAGCCGAAAACATTTCTTGTTCAGTACCAGACTGCTAATTTAACATTCTGGTTTCACACTTGTTGCCTTCTTCAGGTTTTTCCAGGGGTGTCAGTTAAAAACCAAAAAGAATTATTGTAGAATTTATTTTACTCACATGTGTGGCAGAAATTAGAAACTTACTTGGTATTATTCACCTTATAGTGCCCCAGCCAGAGCAAGCTCTCCCCAGTGTGCACAAGCCTGCTGAAGGAGTTCATGAGTCTACTGCAGAACTTCCCATGTGCCAAAAAATAAATTACAGTATGAAATGATAAATTTGCAATTGTTTCTGACAAATTTCATCTGTGTCCTTTTATGTGCTGGTTTCTCCCCGTTTTGCGTTCTGTTTGCGTATCTTTCCCTTTTCCCACGCTTGCTTCTTTCTCAAGAGAAAACAAGATACCTAACAAGCAGCAGAAAAAAAAAAATTTAAATATGATCTTAGCAAACTGTTAGAGAAGACTTAGTGGACAGAGTTCAGATTATCATCATTATTGACTTGGAACTTTTTTGGAAATTGGAATTTTAGGATAATTTTTCTATTTTGTCCTAATACAGATGAGGGAGTTTCTGTACTGAGAGGAATTGTTGCATTATACTGTGCTTTTCGGTGTAAATGGCTGTTTGTTCCCTTGTGATCTGCCTGCAAAAAGATAAGGTTCAGGCATTCTCTTAAGTAGTGATTTTTCTTTGAATGATGTTTGCGCTGCAGGAGTGAAGGTGTTGTTGGGAGATGCATGCCTTGCTTGCCTGGCGCGACACCAAAGCCTTCCTCTGCTCTGTTGCGTTTGGGAGGAGGCATCGCCCATCGGTGGTAGTGCTGGTTTTGCAGTGAGGGTCCCTCCTCGCCTCTCGCCAGTGTCTCACGTTGGTTCGCAGTCAGCGTAATAGCTTGTCCTCCTTTGTTTTACCTTGTTCTGCTTTCTTCCTGTATGTCTGGTTTCCCAAGTTTCTGTGTTGTTGAAAAGGCTCACCAGTCATTGGCTTAGGGTCCTCTAATCCAGCATAGTTTTGTCTTGATTATATCCTCAAAGACCTTGTTTCCACTTGTAGGGGATGTGAGTTTCGGAGGATACTCTTCAGCAGAGTGTGCTATGTCAGGGAGGGTTGTGCATAGTGACGTGTGTTTTTTACGTGGTAAGATCTTGCCGTTTCTGAAAACACACCCTGAGAATGGTATATAGAACATAGACTTCCCCAGAATCCTGCTTGGAGAGGTGAAATGGGTAAGAAAGAGGCCTGCACATAAACGAGAAGAATGCTGTTACTGGGTGTGTCTTGTTTCTCACAGTAAAACCTTTTCTGTGTCTTTCCCTGTTTCCTTTCAGGGTTGTCTATGTATTTGGTCCACCAGTGAAAGAGCCTCCTACAGATGTTACTCCCACTTTCCTGACCACGGGGGTGCTCAGCACTCTACGGCAGGCTGATTTTGAGGCACATAACATTCTCAGGGAGTCTGGTAAGTTGCTTGTGTGACTTCTCCCTGTGTGCTATAACTAGTTTTTGCCATTAAGATTTTTAGCAGATGAATGTGGTGTTGGGTTGTTAGATGCTTTTATTTAATTCAGTGAGGGTATTTACTGTGCTACCATCCAAATACAATGTTTTCACCTTTGTTAGCATATGTAGAGAAGCAAAAATTGTGTCTGTTCAGGTAGCAGCTGAGGTCCAACGGTGCCATTACTGCCCGTCTTGTTTCAGTTCTCATTTGTAGACAAGATTCCTTTTCTGTGGCATTTTTGATGTTGTTTTTTGTATTTTCATAATTTTTCCTAATGACACTTCCATTTTATTTAATTATTTTTTAAAGATTTATTTTTATTGAAAAGTCAGATATACAGAGAGAAGGGGAGATAGGAAGATCTTCCATCTGATGATTGACTCTCCAAGTGGCCACAAAAGCTGCAGCTGAGCCAATCTGAAGCCAGGAGCCTGGAGCCTCCTCTGGGCATTCCAAACAGGCACAAGGTCTCAAGGCTTTGGGCCATCCCCTACTGCTTTCCCAGGCCACAGCAGGGAGCTGGATGGGAAGTGGGACAGCCAGGACATGAAGCAGCGCCCACATAGGATCCCAGTGTGTGCAAGGCGAGGACATTAGCTGCCAGGCTACCACCCTGGGATCGAGTTTTCTAGGCGTAGTGTTGAAGTTTGCTTAGTTCCCAAGTACAACAGTGCTGTACTTTACAGAAAAAAAATCTGTTTGACAAACTTTAACTCAGATATGCGTTAACTGTGCTGTGGTTCTAAACTCACTGTTAACAAATCTGCAGTAAAATTTCAGCAAGGTATCTTTGAACAGAAAGGCACACGAAACGAAGTTAGGTGTTGATTAGTTGATGAAAATGTCATTCACAAGACTCAGCCATGCTCCCCTGGGAGAACCTTGCATGTGGTCTGGACACTGGAGTAATTGAGTAGAACAGGCCGTGGGGCTTCGTGGTGTGTGGTTGATTCTGCGTCTTCCTTCCTCCAGGGTATGCTGGCAAAATCAGCCAGATGCCGGTGATCTTGACACCTTTGCATTTTGACCGGGACCCACTTCAGAAGCAGCCCTCGTGCCAGAGATCTGTGGTCATTCGCACCTTTATTACTAGTGACTTTATGACGGGTATCCCTGCGACACCTGGCAACGAGATCCCTGTGGAGGTAGTGCCTGAATGGTTTTCTAATGTACACTTTCCAGGACCTCGTTCTGTGATGCCAGGGATGAAATAGGTGATGACAGTTCTGACATTTCTGGATTTGCCTCTCCATTCGTAAGATAGGATATTTATTTATCTATTTATTTGTGTGTGTATTTTTGCCACCACATAAGTAATCGTTTATATTGCAGCAGGAAAGGGCCTTGAATTGAATATACCTCCCAGTTTCTGTGACTGGAGAAAAGTTGTCAGATGCAATCTCTAATCTGGTCTTTCTGACTTCCCAGCAAGAAATTAAACTTTAGGCGTAAAGAGTTAGAAATAAATATTTAGGAATTGCCTGATATTCTACCTGCTGTTAATCTTAATTTCCTTTTTTTTGTATCTCTTTTTTCCTTTTCCTTTATCCCTTTGTCAAAGTGTTCCAAAGAAGCTGTGTGTATAAACATGTAATACTGAAAGTGAGTTATGCTGGGGCTTGTGGCTTAGCATCTGATTTCCCCATGATTCATGCTTGCCGAATTGCTGGCCGTTCACCGTACCAGGCCATGCTCTCCTGTATTCTTGACAGTGATTGCTACTGTGCTGTCTGTTACTGTGGGGGCTTCAGTGCTCAAGCCACAGGTAGTTTGCAAAGCGTTGGCTGGAGCACACATAGAACTTCTTACTCTTGGATACCACAGCTGTGCTAAGTGTGTTATTAAGTGCTTTTTTGTGACTCAACAAAGAATACGACTTGCAAAATAGTATGTGTGCATGGGCCACACTTTGAGTAGTACTAAGGTTGTTGTAATGTCCAGTATGAAGATGAATAGGTTCATTATATGAGATTAACCATCCCTATATCCCTATACCTGATGGGACAATAGTGAAAGGAGTTTCTGTGTTAATATTACACGTTGGACACAGGCGATCCTGACTCCTTATTTATCATCTTTGTTTCTATCACAGGTGGTGTTAAAGATGGTCACTGAGATAAAGAAGATCCCTGGTATTTCTCGGATTATGTATGACTTAACGTCAAAGCCCCCGGGAACCACTGAGTGGGAGTAATAAACTAATGTGCTGTCAGAGTCCTGCGTGCAGTATACAGTGATTAGAAATCATCCTTACTATTGACATGCAGTGCTGTGAAAACAGTTCATGGAGCAGCTACATCACATCCAGAGTTGTCTGCAGCTTAAGAGCTGGGTTGGGGATAGCTTAAGGGATTAAAGAGTTTGTACGGGTAAATAATCACGCACCATCGCCTACACTCAGACAGGGTGACAACTGCTTTGTCTACCTGGCTGTTTTGTTTTTTAATGTGAACCCATTGGTGCTTTGACGTCTCTGTGGTGATGTGGGAAGGAGGGTGAGGTAATGGATGGGAAGCAGTAGAGGAGTTCTTTCTGCCTGCTCGTTTCTCTGAGGTGTTAGGCACACCCATCGAATAAGTAATTTCATTTTTCCAGTGGGTGAGGAAGAGACGATGTAGCAGATAATGGGATAGGTGGGCTGTCTTAGCCAGTTGGGAGGACGCTGAAGCTATAAAATGTAAGGTACCATTAGAGAGGCACACACAGGACTTGGTTCACATACTTCAGAGCTTTGTAAATCGCAGCCATGGAAAGAAGAAATGGTCTTAGTGTCTAGGAGTGATCTTTAAATGTTTTCAAGCCGTGCTGCACAGAGATGCCGTGTTGCTCATCTTCCCCTTTTCTGTGAGTTGTGCGTCCTTCCAACAGCCTTACATTACCAGCTTCAGAGCTGTGCATAGAAAGCTCTCTCCTCAGAAGGGACTTTGGCTGATGTCTGTGGTGTTGTGCAGGTGCTTCTCTTTTTTGCTTGATGAGAAGAGCGGCTGAGACCACAGAAGGCACAGCACATGCCTGCAGCTTACGGAGAGAAGTGTTTGTATCATCTAGGAAAGGTGAAAAATGAGCCCTTAAGCCTGATGTGTTGGCAGGCTTAGAACTGGGTTCAGGAGTCTGACTACTCTGGATCCGTGAATAATATTTGGTGATCCAGATGATTCAAGACCTGGTTAAGGACTCATTTTCATTGCCACTGGGTTCCAGCAGTTGCCACTTCGTACTTGTTCAAGTATCTCCTTTATTTAGATCCAAAATTTTGAGATTCAGTATTAGATAACAAAAAGTGATGGCTGGCAGAAGTTGTCTTGCATTCTGACTGATCTGGAGGAATCTGCTACTGGATGAGCAATGGAGGAGCACCTGTCTGTTGTAACAGATACCTGTGTGACACAAAGGAGTGTTTGACTTCTGTAAAACTTGAAGACTTCATCATCTTGTTGAGGAGGTACTCATTACTGCGTTCTGGAAATAGAATGTGCTAGGGGGTTGGTTTAGAGTCATGTTATTTTAGAACTAGATAGTTAACCTGCAAAATGCTTACAAACTGATGGCAGTATATGTTTATGTGAAAAAATTCTAGAAAAATTTCTTAAGATTTTTTTTCTAATCCCAACAAACAATAGGAATCTAGGGAAAATGAATAGTAAGGATCTTTTTTCCTTGAAGTATGTCCTATGGAACACCACTCCACTGAGATGGACCAATTGAAGAATATGGCTTAGGTAGTCATATATTAGTTTGAGATATTCTGCTGATTTTAGAGATTCAAGGTGTGTTGTGTACGTTCAATGTTTGAGAAACCGACGTTAAAAACAGATGTTAACTTTGCTTATTAACTGAGTGTTTTCCTGATATGTGCCTGTTACATACATTTTTTGTAATTCTGATATTGAGCAAATTAGTTCTGTAAAATATCCACATTTTATGGTTTTAAAACAATCTAAATTTTCTGAAATTCAGAAATTACTAATATTTAGTAGTTGTTTTCCTTCGCACAGCTTTGCTTTGCACCGTACAGTGTTGCAGTGTTTCATCTGAGCCACTGAGAAAAACTAAGGTTACAATTGTATTATACAGTTACAGAAACAAGCTCAGCTTACCTGTTACCTAACAGTTTCAGAATTAAAAGACAGATTTCCGTAGTCACACTTGTCTTTTTCATTGAGTGTATTCTAGTGCCTTAAACTCTATGGACATTTGTTTTAAGTTGATTTTAATGTATTTGAAAAGTAGATGATGGAGAGAAGGAGGGATGGTGGTGGGAGGAGTCTTTCATGTGCTGTTTAATTCCCACATGTTGGCAACAACCAGGGCTAGGCGAAGCCAAGGCCTGGAACCTGTGGAATTCCATCTGGGAATCTTACGCTGCTGGTGGTAGGGCCCCAAGTGCTTGAGCCTTCAGCTGCTGCCTCCCAGAGTGTCCATTAGCAGGAAGGTGAATCAGAAGTAGAGGTGGAGCTCCAGTAGCTTTCCCAAGGCTGAACTGCTGCAACACAGCACTTAGCTCTGGGGTGATTGTTTTTGACCAAGACTGGAATGTTGACTACCTATATCATTACTGGTTATCCGGAGTAGATCACACTTCATTCTTATCACTGCCTATTTGGGGCGTGTCTGCATGTAAGTGGGTTTTGCTTCTTTGTTTCTTTGTAGCTAGTAGGAGGTTATGATAGGTGAGTTAGAGCATCATTTATTCTTATGATTGTCAGACACAAAAGAATTTTTGAGAACCAGATACCCAGTCCACCTGTGATGATTAGATCTGTTGGCAGTAACAGCCTGGCATAATTTCTGGGAAAAGCCTTAGCTGCAAAAGAGAAGGGTCATAGTGTCTTCTTACCACCTTTTCCCCCATCCTTTAAAGTCAGTAGCCAAAGGACATCATCGTCCCTCCCTGAGAAGCTGATCTAATGAATAACTTGGCTTTTAGTTCTGGAGAAGGAAAGCTTTGCCATTAGGTGAGCAGGTGTGTGCGTTAGTGCTGTCACCTGATAAACAGTAGGTGTGTGAGCCTCAGGTCATGTGCTTATGAACCAAAAAAGCAGCGTTAAATTCACAAAGCTAGATCAGCCCTCAATTCTTAATAAGAAATCAACAACAGAATGGAGAAATGAAAGTTTTAAAAAAGGATTTTTAAAAATGCTTTTTTATCAAGGGTAAATATCAATGCATTGTAAAATCAAATATTATTTTTTGAAACTGGCATAAATCAGTGTAGTTTGGCTGCTTGAGACTCTTCTGCAGTGTCGTAACACTTAGAATACTCACTGAAGTGTTCCAGTAGCAGTCTCGTTAAAGCTTGGGAAATCCAGCAGAAGAGGCGCTGGCTTTAACATTAGTGAAAAGCTACAAGTTAACATTCTATTTCCTGAACCTTCCACCTTTTTGTACTGCTCCCCGTCCCATGTACTTCCTCACTGTTGGGAATTCCCGTTAGAATTACCCAAGTGAATTTCCTGTTCTCTCCTTGTCGATCAGAAACAGATTTTCTTTGGAAAACACTCCTTCCTGGGGTTGTTGAGAGGAAACCTGGTTATGTTTTCGCTGTTGCAAGGCTTTCACCTTCATATTGGTGACATTGCTTGCTCTTATATTCTTGAAGGTTTCATTTAATGACAAGTGAAGAGATGTACCTGAGAGTTCAGATACCCCGAAGGTTTGGAGTTGGTATCTTAAGAGTGCCAGGTTTTCTGCTAAACCCAAACATTCCCCACCCCCCCACTTTTTTTTTTTTTTCAATTTATCCACTTTTATTGAAAAGGTAAATTGACAAGAGGACAGAGAGAGAAAGATCTTCCATCTGCTGAGCCCCAAGTGGCTGCGTCTCAGAGCTGAGCTGATCTGAAGCGAGGAGTCTCTTCCTGGTTTCCCACACAGGTGCAAGGTCCCAAGGCTTTGGACCATCCTCTACTGCTTTCCCAGACCACAAGTAGGGAACTGGAAGGGAAAAGAAAAGTGAAGCATCTGGGACACAAACCAGTTCCCATAAGGGATCCCTGTATGTGCAAGGCGAGGATTTAAGCTGCTACACTACCGCACCAGGTTAAATTAAAAAGCAAAACAAAACACCTCCTTACCTACCTACCTACCTTCTGTCCACTGTCTCCCTCCCCAAATGCCTAGCCCTGAGCCAGGCTGAAGCCAGGAACTTGGAGCCTCATCTAGGCCTCCCCTTGAGTGGCAGGGATGCTAGCACAGGGTGTGCAGTAATAGGACACGGTCAAGGTGGAGGTGGGACCCCTCTCATGGAGGCACCGGCGAATCTGTAGCACCTCGATGCCTGCCTTCACTCCTTCACTTGGGCTGTCTCTTGCTGCACCATCTCCAAGCATGTGAGCGCAGCAACCAGGGGCAACTCCACTTCTCTGTTGTCATGATTATTCAGAATTATCATTGGCTGTGGCTGTTGCTTTTAGATTGATTCTAATAAGCTTGATACTCAAAGGGAAATTGCCCTATGAAGCTTAAAACTTTGAAACTTAGTAAAATGTTTGTTTTATACATTTATATTTGAAGACTGCAAGTAATAGAACTGTTACCAGACCATTAAATTTGGAAATTCTGTCCACCAATAAGCTCATCAAAGCCCTTTTAAAAATATATTTTAAAAATTTTATTTCCATATATATATGGAAAGGCAGATCTATAGAGAAAAGGAGAGAGAGAAAGGTCTTCTGCCTGCTTGTTCTCTCCCCAAATGGCCACAATGGCTGGAGCTGAGCTGAGCTGAAGCCAGCAACCAGGAGCTCTTTCCAGGTCTCCCATGTGGGTGCAGGGCCCCAAGCTCTTGGGCCGTCCTCAACTGCTCTCTCAGGCCAAGAGCAGGGCACTGGATGGGAAGTGGAGTAGCCATGACACAAACCAGCGCCCATATGGGATCCTGGCACATCCAGTTTGAGCTCTTGAGCCACTAGGCTATGGTGTTTCTAGGCTTTCTAAAATTCTTCCCATCTGTCAACTTTCATTTCACATATGCCCTCACGTGTTGCCTACTTTCACATTAGATGGGTTAATGTAAACATTAACCACAGGTATTTGGCGGTGTGAGAACTGTAATAGATCTGCCTACTATTGTGTGAATTGGGTTCTGATGTTGGCTTTGTGATTTTCACCTGTGGGTCCCCTCTCCCCTGGCCAGCTTTATCATGAGCTGGGCCTTCACGAAAAGAACCTGGCGAGTAGATTGTAGTGATTGGGTGGTAGGGTGTGTGGAGGGCGGGCTCTCTGATGCTGTGATTCGGCTTCTGGCTTTTGAGGAAGCTCCTCTTTGCAGCTGTGTACTTGACGCGTGCTTCTCGAGCCCCTTCCCCATCAGAGCACCTGTCAGGCTGGCTGCAGGGAGCTGGAGCTTCTCTCCCGCGTGCACCGGGCCAGTCGGGCGTCGTGACCATATCTGTGGACGGATGCTCTTGAAGACCAGAATGCTCTGGCGTATTTCAGGGTAGTGACTTGTTTCCTTTCTGCCAAAGCCTTTGAAATTCCATTAAACCTATGCGCTACATATTTTCTTGTAAATTCTCCAAAGATGGGCATCTACGTTATTTTTGACTTTTGTTCTCTGGTACAGGTAATACCCTCATGAGTATTCAACATCTTTTGGAAGACATCATGTTGAAAAACTGCACAAGGGATTCTCCAGATGTTGAAATTTCTCTAAGCATGGAGGTTTTTCTTATTTTTTGGTGCTCATACTTAAATTTCATAATTTCACTCTACAATGCCAAGATAATTCTGTTCATATTTCCAACATTTATTAAAAATAGCTGTTCTAACTTATTTCTATATAGATTTTTTTGGTCTGAAAACATGTTAAATAACAGTCCTTAACCTTAATTAAAGTTATATTGCACTGCATGCAATGGTATCTACAACTTGGAGTGATGTTCAAGAAATCTGTCCTCAAACTGTACCAAAAACATTTTTCTGTAGTTTATTCATAAACTTTTATTTTTTAAGGTTTTCAGTCCATGTAGAGAAATGGAGATTTGTGCTGTCTTGCAGATCTGAACGGGGTGGATGACCTCAGAGTTCCAGTCTGTGAGGGCACTCCAATTCCCCGTGGTCTCCTTGGCAGTTAGGATGTAGTCCTCAGTGCCCGCACTGATAGTGATTTAATGGAATCTTAAGCAGCATGCAGAAATTTGATGTAAACAAGATACATACATCGTAACAGTTGTGCTTATACCTAAATAAACATACATTAAAAGATGGCTTGAAGATTCAACTTCAGCAGCACTGCAGTAGGTGCTTGTATCTGGGAAGACAGGGTTGGGGCTGAGGAATAGATAATGTAGAGTGTGGCTCCCTTGCAGGG